TCGACAATGTCGAAGATTTGAAGTGCAAAATTCAGTTTGAGTGGAACCGCATCACTCTCGCGTATTGCAGGACCCTCGTGGACAGCATGCCAACTCGCATGGCTCAAGTCATCTTGAAAAGGGGTGCCACAATCGACTATTAGTGCACATATTGTAAGTGCGGCTATAGTTTTGCACCAACTAAAATACACGTTTTATCATTTTTTGTAAATACCATTGAACGTCCATAGTAATGCTAAGTGTAGATTGTAATCATTTTTTAATATGCGTCGAATGGTACTAGCGGCTTCTGTAATGGTCAAAAACAAAAATGTCAACTTGAAAATTTTGGGGTGCGGCTATAGTTTTGTTCCAGACTGTACAGTATGTAGAGTGGGAAGGAACCAACGCCAACGAAGATTACTACCGTATTACTATTAATAGTACCGTATTAATAGTAATTGTTGACTTGTCTCCCTCAAACGCCCTATTTCGCATCCGGATAAGGCTATATTCTTAATCATAAGGACTTTGGTCCTACGAAATCGAGAGCAAAATGCTTCCAAACTTTCTGAAGTGACTACTAAAATGAATATTAGGGTATGCAGTACAAATACTGGTACCCCCTGTACTATTAATAGTAGTATATTGCTGAGGCCGTTTTGACCTATCCGCAATTTGCTACCAGTTCTTGGTTGTATTTTTTAAACGAAAAGTGTATCTTATACTACCGGTAGCAAAATATAATGCGGAGGTTTTTGTAGTATTATACTATTATTAATAATAGTACGTACTATTAAATAGTATTTATTTATTGCGCATCAAATTTTTACCCAATTTCGAAAATTCGACCAAATGACTTCTACTTAACGTTAAAGTTAGCATGACTCGCAACTGCGACGTTTGCTATAAGCTCTGATACTTGAGCAACTCTTAAGGTTGACGTCGAATAGCAACAAGTAATAACGTTAACGTTCCTATTATTAATAGTAGAAAGCCCGAGAGTTTTCTTTCGATTTTCCCCCAATTGATACGATTTGTCGAGATAAAATATTTCAGCCAATGAAAATCATCGAGGTAATCTTCTTCAACTTGGACACACCATTTGCGCGCGACGGTTCACAGTCGGGATGGCACAGCAGCGATGGACTCGGCTGCTGCCGCTTCTGTTCCTGGTTCTAGTGCTCGGTCAGAAATGCAAGCTGTCTACGACGGTGACGAAGGCTCCAGGTATAATATGTCCATGGCATGACGTATCCATCCCGACGATTATATATATTCAGACCCGTCGTTGCAGGTGTCATGGTGGACAGGTCACCGCAGCAAGACGGGACGACGTATGAGTCACCGACCGACTGTCATTGGAAGATATCGACATTGAGCGCCAACAAAGTTGTGCAGCTCGACATCGAGCTCCTGCACTTGGACCAGGATATGTACAACGACGTGCTGCTCATCAACTTGGGCGCCGACGTGCCAGTTCCACAAGGATGGGCTCTGTACACGCGTAACAACGACATTACGGGGCAAGACTACGTCGGCACGTTCGACTACACGACGACCGTCCCTGGGGCGTGCACGTCGCAACAAGGAAATGCATTTGACCCCATGTCGTGCAGCCTCACGGACGGCACGCTCATGAACGACCGCAACCGCGATAGGTCTTGGATCTACTTTACCGGGTCTGGCGACGGCAACTACCCCATCACATTTCTGTCCATGGCGCCAGACATTTACATCATCTTTCGTTCATTCTCCAAGTCGTCGTCGTCGTCGCCCGGGGACTCCTCGGACGTGTCTGGCTTGCGCATGTCGTACTCGTTCGGTCCGTCCGCCCCCCTTTCTATGTCCATTAGGAATGGCCGTAGATGTTATAAATCGCTCTGGTAGTTAGCGCATATTGCGATGGACTGACGGTGGTGGCACCGCGACTGGATGCGTCCGACACGAGCAGCCTCTCGACGGAGCTGCAGATCAAAGACAACATGGCCGGCCAGACCAAGGCGAACATGAACTGTTCGTGGCTCATCCAGCCGTACCGGACCCCCGACGGGTCAACGACCTCTCGCGTATCGTTTGACTCGATCTGGCTCGACTTTCGATCATTTGACATCCACGGCGCGTCCATCGTGTCCATGTACCATATCTCATGTTTGAATAGCTTTCATCCGCGAATCGCATTAGATATGACGGCATGTCGAGCCAGGCGCCGCTCCTGGCCCAGTTTATAGAGTCCAACGGGCCCCAAGACACGATCAAAGCTCCGCACTCGGCCGTGTATATCACGTACTTTACCGACGACGGCCCGCCGTCTGTGGGCATCACAATTGGATGGAAGGCGTCGTACTGCCCCAATGCATGCAGTGGACGTACCCACGGCACGTGCATATTGGGGATGTGTGATTGTAACAAGGGATGGGCGGGAGCGGCGTGCAACATCCCGGAAGGATGGCTGTGTGCAGCAGCGCATTACAATGCCGGCGATGGGTGCGACTGCGGCTGTGGGCTCTACGGTGCGTCAGTCCTACATATGTACCTTATAGTATCTTCCATATCTCATGGGAAAGTATCAATAGACCCTGATTGTGGAGCGTTGGACCCGTTGGTCGTGGCATGCACGAGGTCCAAATCAGGTGGGGGGCTGCTGTACGATGGAGCCATGGGACGGCTCTTCAGTGGGGACTGTGTCTACTGCCCCCTTCCCCCTGTCATTGCAGGTACAGTACATACAATCACTTTGCATTTGTCTTCAATGCGTTGTACGGTCCGTAGAGCAACCGAAACTGCCCAACTTTAACTGGGAACACAACACGTTGGACCAGTCGTGTCCGGATGTGTTTCAATGCCCCCAAGGCACGCAGTGCAGTCCCACGGGGCTGTGCACCAAAGTGTCGGACGCCGCCCCCCCCGACTTTACCCTGCGACAAGGATGTGTGGTCTCGACGGATTGCCCCGCCGCGACTGTCTGCAACGCCCAGCAATTCTGCCAAGCACCGTCAGACTACGCCCTCCACTTGACCAGCGCCACGACGGCGGGCGTGTGCTCGTTCTACGGCATTCCACCAAACACAGACTTTACCATCGAGCTGCACCTGCAAGTGCTGACTACTCCGCAAGGCACGGACGTGGTTTTGACCTACCCGGGCCTCACGATCACCCAATCGTCGAGTTTGACGTTTACAGTCGGCACGTCACCCCCGTGGAACTCCAAGTGGAACGTCGCCGACGGCCTCTGGCACTCGATCGTGTGGGTGTGGGACAATGCCGCCGGTACCATGTCGCTGTTTGAAGTGACACCGGGCACCACCGCCGCTGCCGTTGGACCTGTGGCGTCCACGTCGGGCATTCCACCAGGGGTGGTGCTCGCCCCCGACCAGAACTTTACCCTCGGGCCATTGGACGGCGCCCTTTCATCCTTGCGCATATGGACCCAAGTCCGCCCCCCAACATCGTTCTTCCAGCCATCCACCGACCGGGCGCACCTCGTCGCAGACTACCGATTCATGGAAGGCTCAGGCCGAGACTTGTCGCCCAACCAAAACGATCTCACTGACCCTAGCCCCAATCTGCTGCCCTTTGGATCGTACCCTCCACGTACACTTACATTTGCTCTGTATTATCCACTGGACGGGGGTGTCTATATGTAGAATCGTACTCGTGCGTGGCGTCTCCATTGGATATTTCCACTGGTCTGGCCGTGGGCGCGATCGTATCGGTCACCGCCGCGTCGACAAAAGCATGGACCGTCGGCATCTTCAGCGCCGCCGACGTCAATCTCATTGTTGTGACGGGGACCACCAACTTGGTTGAGATTGCCGTGGACGGGTCGACTATCACCTCCATGGCAGTGCCAGGGGTGACGGCCAAAGCGGCACTGTCCATTCGACTGACCCGCGTGACGACCACAGCCATGGAAGTGTGCATCAACGACGTCTTCTGCGACACAGTCACCATGTCGACCACCGCGATGGCTTATGTGACAGTGAATGCCGCGCCACGCAACGGCGCGCTGGGCGGGCTTCAGTCGCCGTGCCTTGTCCTCGTGGGTACGAAGTATAGTTTCGTTGTAAAAGGACAGTTCTCGTGCTCACCTCTGAGTGTCTAGATTCGTTGGAGGCGTTGGCCCCGCTCGTGTCGTCTGGACCGACCGCAACGGTCGACAACGCCCAGTGCACGTTTCCATTTGCCATGTCCATTCGCAACTGCAATTACTTTGCCAAGTACTTGGCCACGAACTCGTACAACGCGGCCACGTTTAGCCCCCTCGCCCAAGCGTATGCAATCGCCCAATTGGACTTGGAGGACCAAGCATGCCAGTGCGACGCTATGCCCACGTGGTTATCCAACTTCAAAGTCAACCAAGTCGACTCGGCGACCCCCACCGTGACCGCGACCGTCGACTACGTCAAGATCAAGACGACAACCGACAGTACCGCGGCGGGGGCGGTCGAGTGCGCGGCTGGCTGCTACATGCTCGAGGTCGTGGGGCATCGGCGGCTGGATGGTCCCCTTCCTCCACCCCCTCCGCCTCCTTCTCCCCCTGGCCCCCCCTCGGCAACCCCAGCCCCTCCGAGCCCCACACCACCGACAACCGCTGGTCCCACGCCACAGCCAACATACCCCTCGGGCAACCTCGCAAGAAAGTACAACGTCAAGCGCGACTTTGCCTTTGTCGAGTCGGGCGGGGCGTGGTCGGTTCTAAACGCCACAGACGATGGCGTCGTTGGCACCGAGACATGTCTTGTCACAGGTCCGGATACATCGCAAGTGAACCAAGCCCTGACCGCCTTCCAGTGCCAGACAAGTGGCACCACCACGTTGGACGCAGCACCTCCCCCCCTTGCGTACTGCATCCTCAACAACACCAAAGCCACGTGTCAAAGCGATAACCACGGATGCTCCCTCCCCAATGGCTCCACAACGTTGACGTCGTTGGCTGGGTCGTTCAGCGACAACTACCGCGCCAGCATTACCGCCGGAGTGCACGTGTGTACGTACATCGTCCAGCCCGCGGTCCCGCCGCACCTCCGACGGTTTGCGAATTTGTCGTATACGATTCAAACGGCCGACTTGTCTGCGAACGATGCACTCGTGGTCACAGATGCCAACGCTAGGCCACTCTTATTCCCCATCTCTGGCCCCGTCGCGTTCCCGTACGTTCAACATATATATATATATATATATTGGCCTTGTGACAATGGATATACTGTACGTAGAGATTTGCCCATCCAGTCAGTCGTGCCAGGCACCCAAGCCACGTTTACACTACGCACATATGGAGACAAAAGCTCCGTCTCGAACGACGGGTTTGTCGTCGAGTTCGACACCGTGTACACGTTTGCAGATGTCGCGACGTCGCACTTTTGCAATGCGACACGGTCCGTCGTGCCCGTGACGGATGTGACAGTGTTTCCCACGTCGTCGTTTTCACCTTCTTCCATGGCTTTTCCAACACTCGGCGACTGCACGTACGTGATGCAAGCGCCAAACGCAACCTTCTCATCTATTTGGTTGAGCTTTCTCGACTTTACCATGGCTTCTCCGTCCGACCGTATCGAAGTGTACGGCGACAACATGACGCTCTTGGCGTCGGTCACCAACACCACGTTTGCGTCTCCGCATTATGGCGTCGTGTTCAACGGCCTCGCCGACTACGTGCTGTCGTCGTACCCGTTGCCCATCCTCCCCGCGTCCATCTTGTTCTGGATCCAAGTGCCCGCGACACTCAAGAAAGACTGCTCCGTCGCCTCATCGTGCATCAACAACGTTGCCAAGCGCATGAAAGTACTCGGCACCGAGTTCACCCCGGCGTCCCCATCATGTGCCAGATTCAACGTGGAATTGGACGTCGACACGGGGTACCTGAGCATGTACCTGAATGGCGCGACGTTCGTGCTAGAGCAAGACGTCCGGCAAGGCACGTGGTTCCACATCGCGTTTGTCTTTCGTGAGCTCGACAACGACATGCTCGGGTACGTGAACGGGGCACGGGTGGCGCTGTCGACCGCGTCCAACTACGACCCCCTCCTCGGTCCGTGTCCGTCAAACGTTCTGTTTCTTGGCGGCCAGCCGTCGCTACCAGACGACCGGAACGTGCTCTTCAACGGCATGTTGCGCCACATTGTGCTGTTTACCGAGCCCAAAACCATCTACCAAATCGGCCGTCAGATGACGCGCAAATGCGATGCCACCGACCCCACCCTGTTGTTGTGCTATGCGTTCACCACTACCGACACATCGAACGTTGTGGACGACAGTTCCGTGGCGCTGTTCGGCAGGTTCCACGGCACAACGTTCAGCACACAGGCGCCGCTGTGGCTATCGTCGTTGCTGTACAAGACGTTCACGTCTGCGTCGGCCCACCTCGTGCTTCGGTTTGTGTCGTCCGCCCCAAACTCGACCTTTCGATTCATCGCTACTCCCAAAGCCTGTCCTGTCTGCGGCGATCATGGAGTGTGCCGGCGAGGGCAATGTCGTTGCGACGTGGGGTACAAAGGCCCCGCGTGCAACGTCAAAGTGGACGCGTGTGAGCCCAACCTCGTGCTTCCGTCGACCAATGGCGTGCTCCTGTTTCCTTCCACCGTCCAAGCACCCGATCAGTTTGTGCCGCCGTTTCCCATTGACGGGTACCCCGCCGCGCTCGACTGTTCGTGGCACTTGCGCAAGTCGAGCTCGAAAATGGTGCTCCTGTTCACAGAGTTGGCGCTGGATGTCGGCGATTCCCTCGCCGTGTACGAAGGCCGTCGCGTGACGCCGACATACTATGCGACCCACAACCTCACGGCTGACTTGGCTATGACGCGGGCGTCGTACTTTAGTCGAGGCCAGTACGCGTACACCCAAGTGATCTTTAAGAACGTGTCGAGCGTTGCCGCCACGGCCGTGCTGTGGCCAGTAGTGGCGGCGCCGCAGCCTGGAACATGCTCCAAGAGCTTCCACATCGTCCAGTTCCGTCGGGGCAGCGTGTGCGTGGATGGTTCGTCCGTGGGCCTGAACCGCAGCTGGGCGGCGCAGCTCGTGTCTTCGTATTGGTGGCTGCAGTCCCCCGAAGCGTTTTCGACCCAAATCACGCCTCTCCAGCTCGTCTTTAACGACTACGCGACTGACACGGCCAACGTCACGGTCGAGTACTCCAAGCTGTTGCTCGGTCAAGGCAAGGTCACCCACCCCCTCCCTGCCATGTTTCACTTTCGACGGCGTACGCAACCGTTCGACACGTGCCAAGACGGACGCGACGTCGGGTTGGAGACGTCTGCTACGATCGTCACCGCCACGGGCCTGCACAAGTTTACTCGCCCGAATATATCGTCTGGATGGACTCGACAAGCCAACGTGGTTGACCCCCCCGTGTTTCAGTACGCTGGCGCGTGGTCGTTGGATATGACCAAGCCGTTTTCAGGATTGTTTCGAACGCCTGGGTTTGTGGCACAAGTAGGGGCGGCGCCATTTACGATAGTCGTGCACACGACCGTGGTATTGTCGGCCGACGTGCAGTACCTGTTTGCCCAGGAAGAGAACAATGCAAACTCCATCTTCCTCAAGATCTCAGAGTCGAGACGGGGGTTGGGACAGTGGACATTTGGCGCGTACGCGTCCAATGACCGACCCACGGCCGCGAGCCCCGCATCGTTTTCTAGGGATACAGTCATGCTTGCAATCACCGTCAATAATGGCGTCGTGTCGTACTTTGTGAACGGGCTCTTGTTTGGCATTGACGACACCAACACTGCGTATCAAGCGTGTGTTGACCAGTGCAACGCCGACGGATGCGATAGTTCGGCATGGGAATGCCGGAGCCAGGTACCCGTGGGAGCCTTCAACGACCCGAGTCGCCTCGTCCTGGGCGGGCGGTTCCAAGGCGCCACCGTCTTGAACGCGTGGAAAGGCCAAATCTTCCAGCTGACGGTGTACGATCGGGAGCTGTCGGACGCAGTCATCGCGTCGCTCTACACGGGCATCGACGCTGTTTCGACCGTCGTGAGTAAGACCGTCGTCAACTCGCTGTGGTCCCCCACCATTGCCGAAGTCAGCACCATCGAAGTGCTCAGCGTCCCCGTGGGCGTCACTCGGGTATCGTCCACACTCACCCGCCGGTGGCAACTCCGTCGATATGGCTGTCAGGCGCCGATGCCGTCGCTAGAGCCATCCCGGCTCGCTGTGCTGCTGAATGTGTCGTCGTTGGCTACAGTTGTGTACAACGCCTTGGACGACACGGCCGCATTGGTCTCGTGGTCGACACCAACATCCCCATCGACACTGGTGCAAACGTCGCTGGTTCGATCCAAATTGTACGGGTTCAACCTCACCACGTCCTTGATTGTGGACTTGCTCGTGCAGTACGGTGTGGCCACTGACAATTTCCCATACATCGTCACGAGTGTGTACGTCAACGCGATCTCGGCCACGTCGGCTTCGATTGGGTTTCACTTTACAGACGCCCAGCGCAACTCTGTGGACGCCACAGCCACGCTCTTTCGAGCCAACAACACGTGGCACCCCCCCGACTGGGTGCACCGGTTGGTCGTCCCGATCTACGGCGAGGTGCCGCCCTCGAAATGCCGCGATGACCGCAACAATTCAGTCGCCATCACCTACACGTCAGGCGTGCTGTCGGACGGCGGCGCCACCGAGTCGGCCATCGTCGCCCCCAACACTCAATGCTCGTGGTTGCTTGTCGCCCCCGCGGGGGAATCCATCTTCATCTCGTTCACGTACTTCCACGTCGAGTGCGTCGAGGGCGAAGTCACGATAGACGACATGGACGCGCACACGTCGACGCCTCTGTGTGGGTTCCAAGGCGGGTACTCCAACACGTTTGGCGCCAACGTGCGCGTGGTATTCCGCATCGGGTCGCCCCCCACCGGTGGCCCTGGCAACCACCCGCTGCCCATGACAAGCACGGGGTTCTTTGGCATGTACGTGTTCTCCAACGACAACACCAACTTGAACACGGTCGAAGTGCCCGTGGCGTACACCCCCTGGACGATCGTACGGCCAGCCGAGGACGATGTGGTAGTTGCAGGGTCGACCAAGTGCCAGCTAGACACGACAGACGAATCAGTTTTGAATCCATGGCAAATCGCCAGCTCGTTGATCGTCCCCTACCTTGACGACATTTGCTACCAATCGCAGTCGAACGCGGCGGATTTTGAGTGGGAAGTCACATCCCATGATTCAAGTGCAGGTGACACCACTACATGCAAAGACAACAACTGGACCACCGACGAAAGTGTTCCGTGGAGTGCCGTGGCGATAGACATCGTCGGCGGCACGGACCGATACGTTGACCCGCCTTCGAGTGTGTACCACGCCCCAGCCTTCACGTACACGAAATCAAACCAGTCGTTGGCCACGACGTACATTTCAGAGCGCAATGCGCTTGAATTCCGCGTGCAGTCGCCGTTAGGAGGTCGCGGTCGCGTTATGATCGAGTACTATATGCCCCAGACGTTCTACGTGGCCCCGGCGAGCTACCAGGGCGTGGACGGCAGCAACGGCGACGGATCGCGTGAAAAGCCATACACATACTCGTTCGAGTACTTGGTCACAAACGTGTTGGCGAGTGGCGACATGATGCTGTTGTACCCTGGTCGGTACGAAGGCCCGGGGTACTGCAACTTGGTCATGACCAAGGCCGTCGTGATTGAAAGTATCAGCGGGGCCAAGTGGACGACCCTCGACTGCAACGGACTCTCTAGGGGATGGCAGCTCAAACATGCATCGGGGATCACGATTGTCAAGGGCCTCACGTTTACCCGTGCCACGGTATCACACACACAATCGAAAGGGAGGTCTATGAATGTGAGATTACTTATTTAGGTGTCCACGAGTCCGTTTACAGGCGCGGCGGTGTTCGCGTCCGGAGACGTGCACATTGAAGCGTGTAGCTTCGACAACAACGTGCACCGGGCCCAAGGCACGTTGGCGTTCGTGTCTCCAAGCGTATCGACAGTACGAAACTGCTCGTTTACGTCCAACGTGGGGCTCAGTGGGGCGGCGATCGCGGTGCTGTCGGCTTCAGCGTCGTTGGATTCGATTCAAGCGGTGGACAACTACGCGACGGTGTCAGGGGCTTTGTTTGTCAGTACGTACGTGGAGGGTACGAGTATGGCGCTGTCGTCCCCGTCTCGAGTGACCATGATCAAGTCGGTGTTTGTTCGCAACAAGGGGCTAAAGGAAGGCGCGGTGACCATCACCCGCGCCAGTGTGGTGTCCATGACGTCCAATCAGTTCACGGCAACATTGGGCCCCGCCATAGCCGTGGATGCATCCACGTTGACGTTTGACCACAACCTGGTTCAATCCAGTCTTGGCTCGGGCATCGTTGCTACGAACGGTGCTGTCGTTGCTGCAACGTACTCGACGTTTGCGAGCAACTCGGCCAAGAACGGAGCCGCACTGTCGCTGGACACATCAGCGTACCAAGGACGTAGCAATATGTACCAGGGCAACTCCGCCACGGTGGCAGGGGGCGCCGTCTTCGGCCAAGCATGCCAATACACTGAACTCGACAGCTTGTTTGTGAGCAACGTTGTCGGCAACGCCAGCCTCGGCGGCGGGGCGCTAGCATTCACGTCCTGCAACAGCGCCGTGGACATTTCAACCGTCCAAGTGCTCGTCCAGCGCTGTACATTTGAAAACAACTCGGCATCGTTCGGCGGGGCCATCCACCTCCGAGACGTCCATGCGTCGATCGTCGCCAATCAGTTCGTTGGGAACGCGGCTGGGCGATTCGGAGGAGCCATTCGCGTCGCCGACTGCATGAGCCAGCGCGACGAGGTCGCGGTCAACATGGCCGGCAACGCGTTCGAAAGAAACGTGGGTGCCCGCGGGGCGGCCGTGTACGTTGAAACGTCCGACGTGCTTCGCTTGGACACGAACTCGTTTATCAAGAACGCTGCGGCGTCGTTTGGGGGGGCGGTGGCGCTGGTGTCGGCCACTCGGGTGCTGATCCTGTCATCTATGTTCCTGCGGTGTGTGGCCAGCGGCGGCGGCGCCATCTACGCCACGGCCGAGTCGAGTGTAGACATTTCCAACTCTGGGTTTGAAATGTGCTCGAGTCGGTCCAACGGCGGCAGCTTGTACGTTGACAACACCCAGCTCGGGCTCACCAATGTGTGGGTGCAAGGGGTGCGTCCTCCCATATATATATATATATATATACTGACTGACACTGGACGGGATGTATGGCAGGGCATGGCGAGTGGCAACGGCGGCGCAATCGTGCTCATGTCCCAAGGCACGTCTATCCGCGCGACCAACTTGACGATCTCGTCGACGTCGGCCAACAAGGGCGGCGCGTTCTACCTCATCGACTGCAGCCTTCCACCCGGTCAAGTGTCAGACGTTTCCATCGTCAACACGTCCGCCGTGACCATGGGCGGCGCCTTCTACGCGGTGCTCGTGTCTATGGAGCTGTCCCGCCTCACGACCACCGACACGACCGCGGCGAGTGGGGGCATGATGACGCTGGAGGACTCCACCGCCACGCTCGTGGACTCGACGGTCGCGCACTCGACGGCGCTCAAGAACGGCGGCGCGTTCTACGTGATCATCTCGACGTTGTATTTGATCACGTCATTGCTTGCGGACAACCAAGCCATTAACTATGGCGGCAGCGTGTACGGGTTTGCAAGCCAAGTGACAATGGCTGACTCGGCCCTGGAACGGAGCGCGTCCGAGTTTGGCGGCGGAGTGTACGTATCGTCGTCCACACTCGGCATTGCCCGGTCCACGATCTCGTCTAACATGGCAGACAATGGCGGCGCGTTCTACGCCGACTTGAGCGATGTGCATGTGGACGAGTCGACGTTTGACGCGAACGCGGCGACTACGGGCGGCGGCGCTGCGTACATTTCCAGTAACGTAGCGGTACTAACCACTTCAGTGTTTACAAACAACATGGCCAACCAAGGCGGAGCGCTGTGCCTGTCTCAAGTGACCCAAGTGACACTGGACGCGTGTACGTTCGTAAGCAACTCGGTCGCGAACGCAGACACTACCAGCCTTCCGCTGCTTGGCGGCGCCGTGTACATTGACCGCGTGGATGAAACCTCGACCGTGGCCAACTGCGTCTTTCAAAACAACTCGGCCGACAGCTTGGGCGGCGCCGTCTACGCGGCCGCGTCGACCCCATTGCTAAATCCCCCGTCGCTGCTTGTGACCAACTCGACGTTTCAATCGAACCGCGCCGACTCAAGCGGCGGCGCCATGTTTCTCGATGGCTTCCAAACGGTATTTGACTCGACGTCGTTCGCGTTGAATATGGCGACAAGGGGCGGCGGCGGTGCCATCTTCTGGCAAGGAAATACCGAACCCGTGGGCCTGCCTCGGCAATCTTATTGGGCAAACGATGCCGTGTACGGACCCGACTTTGCGTCCGTCCCGGTGGCCCTTCGACCTCTGTACACGCCGCCGCCGTCTGCTGTGGCGGGTCAGTTGGGTGGTGAAGGCAGCGCCCAGCCGTTCGTCGGGTCGTTCGTTGTGCACGTCGTGGTACCGTGTACAGGTTGAGAGTGGTTAAGGCATTTTGTGGAATTTATAGGACAAGTACTTGCAAACAGTGGCGACGGAAAACTCGATCCAAGTGACGCTGGAAAGTACCACCGCGGGCGCGTTCGTCACGGGCACGGCCAAAGTCACAGTGCACGACGGCGTGGCCAACTTCACCAAGGCTGGCGTCCAGCAAATGCCAGGTATATATATATATATATATATATGTACTCTGTTCCTCCTGAAAACACAAATAATATATATATATATATATATTATTGTGAATTCGGTCTAAATGTACTCTGTTCCTCCTGAAAACACAAATAATATATATATATATATATATATATATATATTATTGTGAATTCGGTCTAAACGTCGAAAATTCGCGCGGTTTGTCTAATCAATATTAAATCACGCTGGAGTTCGGATTGGTTGAATATACTTGTCCTTCTTTCTGTAAGAGCCAATCGAATCCACTAAAAATTGGATTAGCCAATAGCGTCGACGATTCGTGATTCGGCGGGGTCTCGAAATCTGTACCGAATCATCCACAATATATTATACAAATACATGTCGTACTACCTATTCATAGTGCTCATACTGTTACTACTGCATTGATTCTCATATTGTTGTGCTTAGGATCCAATGCGACTGTGGCCGTGTCGGCGTCGGGGCTGGTGGCGCTAACGACGGTAGAGTTGCACATTCGGCAATGCGTGCGCGGGGAAGTGACGCCCATCGGCGTCCCTCAGTGCGTCAAGTGTCCGTTTGGCCAGTTCAGCTGGAACACGACTGACACTGTGTGCCATCAGTGCCCCACGGGGGGCGTCTGCGGCGGTGGCGACTCGATCGACGCCCTCGACGGGTTCTGGCGCTTTGAAAACTCCACGGGGGTGTGCACCGACCCTTCGTACCCGTACGACGGATGCCGCCTCGGCACGTGTCTGGATGCGTCGTGCAGCGGGTACACCAAGGGCGACGTGTCCGCCACCGTGCGACTGGACGGGCCCAATCACACGATGATCCTGACCATCCGAGCCGACACGATCGAGTACCGCGCCAACGACACGCTGTACGTCCAAGGCGAAGAACTGCACGTGGTGGCCACGGAAAAGATTGGCGACTCTACTGCCTCGTACCAACACCAAGTGCTCGTCACGGGCAACACCTTGTCCACGACTGGTAAGACAACACTGGAGATATATATATATTATATCTATGGGGGCAGAGTGGTGCAGTAGTTATACTAGTATATATGATACCTACGGGGCAAGGTGCAGTAGTCATATATATTATATATACAGTATGTATATTATATCTATGGGGCAAAGTGCAGTAGTCGCATGTATATATATATATTTATATTTATATGCGACTGCTCCTATATATACAGTATATATGTTGTATCTGTGGGGCAAAATGCAGTAGTCATATATATACAGTATATATATATATAATTATATATATATATGAACTCAAGCACTCAAATCAACATGGGAATTGATTGTGCGTAGGGGCGGTGGACATTTACAAGCGAGGGAAGGAAAAGTGTAAGGCTGGGTACATGGGGAACCTTTGCTTTCAGTGCGCTCCAGGGTACGCGACCACTGCATATCGTTGTTTAGCAAGTTTTCAAGCCACGATATATAATGATATATATATATATATAGGTACACCCGAAGCGGCAAGACCGCGTGCACGTCGTGTCCTGCGAATCTGACGCTCACGGTGGTGGTGCTCGTGCTGGGAGTGTTTGGCGTGGCGGCGGTGGCGATTGTGCTGATCATCATGACGATCAACAAGTCTCGGCAAAAGGCCGACTTGTACTCGATCCTGACCAAAATCTTCACGTCGTACCTGCAGCTTGTGAGTCTGGCGGGGTCGTTCGATCTGCAGTGGCCGCAGCAGGTCAAAGCCATGTTTGCCGGCCAGAGCCAGATCTCCAATCCTGGCGACAAGCTCATCTCGATCGAGTGCCTTATGGACCAGTACAAGCGCACGATGATGGTGGCCACTCCGTTGTCGTCGCTGAGCAACTACTACATGCAGCTCCTCGTGTTTCTATCGTTGCCTGTGTGCGCCGTGGTATTCCCGATGCTGTTTTGGCGGCTGCGATTCCGCCTAGCATCCCGGCGCATTCTCCGTCGAGACTGGGGCTTGGCCCTCAATGCAGTCTTGGGGCGGGGCACCGGTACATACAGTAACTTACTCGTTATACCAGCTAGCTAGATATGTTTGTGCGTGTTTGCAATACATCTAGATATATTTGTGAGTGTTCCAACCTCCCTGTTCGACATTCTGGATGCATACATAGGGTCTGACGCGATGATCCAGAACGACGAACTGCTGGACGTGCTGCTAGCGGTGAAGGAATCCCCGAGCGATATAGTGCTAGACTATGTCCGATCCATCAGCCACATTGGCGACGAGCCCCAAGCGCTGTCCACGGTCAAAGCATCGTTCCTCCAAGCCACCAAAGATGAAATGCGCGATAAGACCGTGCTCAGCATCATCGTGCTCATGTTCCTCGTGCATCCTGGCCTAAGCAACCAGATCTTTCAACTGTACACGTGCACAGAGTTGGGGTACAACGAGCACGGAGACCGCCTCTTTTTTCTCAATCCTGACTTGGACGTGCAGTGCTACGACGCGACGCACTACAAGTGGATGCTCTTTGTGGGCATCCCCGGCCTCGTGCTGTATACGCTCGGGATTCCGTACTTTGCCTTCCACCAACTCCGCCGCCGGCGCCACGAGCTCGACCAGCCCCGCACCAAGCTCCAGTTTGGGTTCCTCTACGATGGGTACTACACTATATATATATATATATTTGGTATTCCAACCGTATGAACTAACCTATATTTGTGGTAGGTACAAGCTGGACCATTACTACTGGGAGATTTGGATCATGATGCGCAAGATCCTCGTGTCGTTCATATCAGTATTTCTCAAAAACTGGGGCACAGCGCCGCAAGCCCTGGGCGCGACGGGGCTTGTGTTCGTTGCGTTATGGGGACACATGGAGACGTGGCCGTACGAAGAAGCGTGCGTGAATGGACTCGAGCAGAAGGCGCTGCTTGCGTGCTTGTTTACACTGTACATGGGGCTGTACTTGCTGCAGCCAGAAGTGACCACCGTCACCCGCGTCGTCATTGGGGTCTGGGCTTTCATCTGAATATTGTATTCATATCTCGTGTATAGGCGTTTATTATCACGGCCAACGGGCTGTTCTTGGTCGTGTTTAGCCGGCTGATGATTGTCCAAGTCAAGCAAAAGGCTCAGAACGCCCTAGCCCAAATGGCCAACCAGAAGTACGTGTCCATGGCAGTCAAGAAGATCCGAAACAAGAGCTCTGCCAGCATGCCGCCCCGCCCCCCCTCGTCCCCCAATGCACACCTACGCAACTCCAACGACTATGTTGTCGCCCCCGACCTCTCCACGGACACCCACGTGCAGCAAAAGCTAGACAAGACCGAGATCTAACCAAGTCTTATCTTATACTACCAACTCGATTCCAACATGTTTACCACCACTTGTACCTAATTAGAACAACGTTGTGTTTTCATGAGTACTTTAGTACTTATACTAATAGTAATAAATATGTATTAGTATTAATAGTACTTGCTTCTAAATCTGTTATAATTCCATAAGATGTAGATAAAATATATAAACCTTTTTTTTTTATTTTAAATAAATCTTTATTTTTTATATATATTCTTTTACTAGGTTTAGATATTCTTATTATTTGACAAATTATCTTATTATTGTACTTACTTTACGGTACAATATTTACATGTTTCCATTGTATTAATACTGTAGTATAGTACTTTACGGTACAATAATTACATAGTGGTGTGAAATCCAACATGTAAAGTACTACTCATACCGGTACTACTGTACAATTTACATGTTTCCATTGTAGTAGTATTCCTGTAGTACTTTACGGTACAATATTTCCATCGTGGTGTCACTTCTACTGGTCCAGATGGTCTTGCTTGTCGAGAATGGCTTCGCTGAGCTTGACCAAGTACTGCAATTCGACTGTGAGTCGCTTGGACGTGTCAAAGTCTTGGTTCGAGTCGAACGCTTCCGCCAGTTTTTGCATGCACGCTTCGATCTGGTTGGCATTATGCGCCTTGTGTCGGTCGAGCTCGTCCATGGACGTACACTCTTCAATCTCCTCCCTGCCATCCATCCACCCATACCCATATGTATACATGATCGTAAGAAACTGGCTCAAGAGCGTCACGCTACCTCGCTTCCATGATGGCCATGAGCGTCGCTGGGTCGACAAAGGTCGTGGTATCGCCTAAGGCGTCGATGCCGTGCAAGTGCAGCTGCCCCAGACGAAGTGGATGAGGCACTTCATCCAAGATATGGCAGAGTCGTACCAGGTAGTTGGCACGGCTCGTGGGAGCTTTGAGGAGGTTATACGCTTGGTTCACTAATGCCGAGTTGACCACCGACAGCTCCTTCTCCACCTATAAGCCACATATGAACACATCGACAGGACGCTGACGACGACAGGAGATCCGTACGTCCGACTTGGATCCATACAAATCAGGGTGCATCTTCTTTTGCAGCGACCAGTACAACTGCTCGACTTTCTTGGCGTCGATAGCAAACGACTCGGGGCTACGAGGTGATTGATCATGACCATTCACCATGGACGACGTAGGATCGTCATCGATATTGGGACGGTGACGACGACGACGTACATGCCAAATATCTTGAAGTAGTTGCACACGCCTTCCGCCCGCAGCGGTTGAATATGGCTGCAGGATGCACAGAAGAACGAACAACAGTCCGTGGGTTGGCCACATTTCCAGCACACGTCACCTAGACGACATTTGTTCCATTGGTATCCTGCGGGGAGCATGCATGTCCGAGGAGCTGTTGTGCGTACGTGACTTGTCGGTGGAAGCCCCCCCACATGGTGTTTGCTGCACGGAGCCATGGCATCGGCGACTGCTCGTCCATCGCCGCAACGGCAACGCCGCCGTGACAACTCGACGCAACATGTTCAATGGCGTTAGTTTTTATTGCCCCCCCCCCTATATTAATTTAATCATTGATCAAATTCCATACAAATATAAACAAAATTTAATTGTAGAGGTGGGCTACCAGAAAACGACGGCGATCGACAACATAGTTTAGATGGGGAATGCAGCGAGCGATGGATCCACGAGTGCCGCGTCCATCTTTGACGCGGCCCAGACGTCCGCGCTGGACAAGATCGTCAGCGAGCAGTCGTACATGATGAGTGACAGCGTGTGGGTAACGTTCTTCACGCTTGACCAGCCTCTGCTGGACATGCCACCCGCAACTTTGCAGCAGTTCTTTCGGCCATACGCACACAACTTTGGTACACCATCTCTCTATTTGTCTCCCTTCTGACGTGATTCCATCTAGCACGCAACACGGTCCGGAGTGGGAACTTTCGCATGCTCATTCGACATGTCACGCGCAGTGTGCGGTATCTGTCGCCGCCGCGGCACCACGCCGACACCATCGTGACCACCACCACGACGGTGCTCGCGACCGAATCCTTCCACGTGATCAACGTCCTCTGCGTCGTGCGGCACTTTATCAAGCACTTCATCGAGCACAACTGCGACGTCGTGACTTTGTTCGCCACCGAAGGCAACAGCACTTCCTCCTCCAGTACCATCCCATTCTCCATATTGTTCATCGCATGCTCATCGCTTCACGTAGCAGACAACGACATCGCCGTGGACTTTTTAGATGCCCTGCTTCTCCTTCTCTTTGATGCTCCAACGTAAGCCCATCACGACCGCGCTCTCTTACCTGGTTGCCGTAGAGAGGACACATACGACCTCCATCTAGAAGGGATCAACCTCCTGCTCGTGCTTGCATCGTCCACAGCCTACCCCTCGACATCAACGTCCATGCATCCGACGCTTCTCGATGTGTTCATGACGCATGCATCAGCATCCGACGAGCGAGGAGGTGGTCGGCCGTCACAGCGGGCCGATGACCTCGTCAAGCGACTCCTTCTATCGTACTTGGATCAACTGCCAGCCCCGCGCATGGAGTCAGCCGCCGCCATCGCCGCCACCGCCGCGCTTCCCCGTAAGATTTGGATCCGAGTCCTACTAGTATATATTGCATTCATCTATTTGCCTTATTTAATTCATTTCATCTATTTTGTGTCCTTCATAGCGTCCACAACTAGTAGTTGGGACAACGTGGTCGAGTTTTTCAGCGAAATCCAAGTGTTTCCGCTGGCTGACCGCAGTGCATTGCTGCTGCTCGTGCTGGTCACTGCCAGGTGAAAGAATGCATGCATTCGCCTACAACGTGCTTAGCAACTCATGTATCTTGATTGCGTATACACAGCAACGGCGGCGGCGGCAATCCATTTAGGAAAGCGCTGGCGACGCTGGCCGATCGCGACGAGTCACGCATGCTGGCTCATAGTCTGCCGTTCTCGCACGTTGTGGCGGTGCTTGGCAGGTAAAATGATCATTCTTGTATATATGGGGATTTGTATGGGTGCGCAACGAATATGAATGTTGTTAGGAACATCCACATTGAGTTGCACGCAACGTTGCTGTACCACGCGCTACTCCTGAACCCATCGTTCCGCGACGCGCTGTGCCGACCCGTGGACGTCGATCACTTTGTACCTTGTGTTGTGTATGCAAAGTATATACTAAACAAAGTATGGGTGCAGGTCTTACCACTGCTGGAAGCCATCTACATACACACGCTATCGCCCCCGCGCCTGTACACGCTTCTTGCTGTCCTCTTGCACCTATCCGAAAACCCACCCGTGGTGCAAACACTCCACCAGTCCCAGGTACACACCGAAAATAGTGTTATTTTTGACTTGCACTTAGGTGCAGGACCACCAAACGTGGTACCAAGAGCGGTACCTTTGCGATTTGTCGGCAGCGAGTGTGGGAGTTCTCGTGCTGTGTCGTGTGCTCAAAGCCAACTTGAGTGTCTTGCATGACTCATTGGTGCAGTCGATGGCCATGGCGTTGCTGTGGAACGTCATGCAGTTCGCCAAGAACTTGCACCCGACTGCAACCCAGAGCCTCGTCAAGTTGCTGGCCCACGCGGCCAAGAAGGAGCAACTCCTCCGACCAAGTCCTGACGAGGCGGCGGCGTACCTTGCGACGGCGCGGGACCTCCTGCTGTGCATCCAACTGGGGTGCACACCGCGGCTCCTGCCAGCGAACGCGCAGCTGGTATTGTCCTTTTGCCCAAAATGTGGCTGACTTTTATGCAAATTCTTTGCCAAATCGATCGATCGATTGTTTGTATTGACGTTTGTATGGAAAGGTCGTCCAGTATCACACTAATTTCAGTCACACACTAATCGAAGAGTGGATAATTTGATTGGCCACTTGATTCGTGTTCTGGGTTTTGATTGGTCGATAGATTGTCTGCCGATTTGGGTTATATTCATCGACTGTTGTTGGTTTGGATATATAGTAGGTATGGAATAAATAATTATTTATATTTGATACAAGACCGTTTGTTGTTTTGAATAAATGATTATTTATAAGTTTTTCTATTTGATCACACGTTTTTTCCGTAGATGTACTCGCTGTTGCATGCGAGTGACGTGTTGAATGGGTTGGCCATGCACCCGAGTGAAGCGCTTCGGGACGACATCGCGATGGTGTTGGGCACCGTCGCGTACTGCAGAGCGATGGTGGACCAGGGTGACGACGAAGGGGACGGCGACGACGACGGAAGGATGCACGACCTGACCATGGAACAAGTGCTGGAACGCATCCAAGGCGGGTGCAAAGCGCTCGCGCATTCGGTACGACTGTACGTACATGCGGAGTTGAGTTGGCTCATGGGCTTGGTGGATATGGTAGACGGCCAGCCAAGAGCAACCAGAAGTGTACTATCGATACGAAGCGCAAGACGAAAGCACCATGAGGAGAGACGATGGACGCATGTTCTTCATGCCGAGGCTGTGGCAGGAGACGGTGCGGCATACCACCGACCTCGCATGGAGCCCAGACAAGATGGTGTTGTCGTCGGGGTAGATGTAGGCAATGTCCATGGACGAGCGCAATACTAGTAGACTTTATCATGTCCCCCTGTTCTCGTGACGTACGTACGCAGCATCGACATGCTGCTTCCTTCGAGGAACCCCATCGTGTACATGTCATGTACATGATGGTACAGTTTCATCTTTGAGCAATAACGATGAAGGTCCAGAATGAGAAGAGTACAGTATTTTAAATCCGGGGTTGATCGACCATACAAATAACAAGCTATATTTAAACATTTCGAAATAAAATTCGTCGGAGACGACCATAGATCCTGCATTTTTGTGCCGAAACAATGAAGGACGACGACGTGCTGGAAGACATTGACTTTGACGACCTGGACGACCACTTGGAGCAGTTCCAGCAGGACGACTTCATCAAGGAGGCGCTGGCTAAGGGTGTGGATCTCCGCCAGTATGCGCAGCAGATCGATCGCGAGCTTCGCGAGGTCGAGATGGAGTCCATCACGCAATACGTGGCCAAATCGGCCGACATCGTGGACTTGTACAACCAGGTGCAGTCGTGCGACGACATCCTCGCGCGCATGCAGGAGATGTTGCTGGGCTTCCAGGCGGACTTGGGCGGCATTTCCGACGAGATCCGCAACCTGCAGAACGAGTCCATCGGCATGAACGTCAAGCTCCGGAATCGCCGCGAAGCCGAAGAGAAGTTGCGCCTCTTCCTCGACCAAGTAACGTTACATGCATGACTCCATCCTTTCCTTCTCACGTCATCATGTACATGTTCCTTGTCAGGTGTACATTCCCCCCACGTTGATCGAAGGCATCGACGACGGCGACGTCAACGACGCGTACATTTCGTACCTCATGATCCTCCACAGCAAGTTGGCGTATGCGAAACTCAGCCAGGCGGCCCCGACGTCCCTCGGCATCGTCCCCGCGACCGCCAAGGCCGTCCAGCAGGTCGACGGCGACCTCGAGAAGCTCAAGCTTCGCGCGTGTGCGCAGGTACAACGCCCCTCTTGTTTTTCCCAGCAACTTGCTCACATATCAATCATTCGATGCCATCTCTTTGCTATCGGCTGTGTTCTACCATTGCTTGTATGTATCCTCAAAGTTGCTCCGCCACGACCTCCCCTATCATGGAATCGAGTCCCCGTTGCTGTGCAATGCACCGGTTGTTTGTATACAACTTGCTAAGCAACCAACCGTGTCATGTCGTGTGGTTGCATATATATATATATACATTTAGTTATCATTTCTATATCAAGTACCTCTAGTTATTCCAGAAAATATTGTATTTTATAAAAATATATTTTTAATATAAAAATATAATGTTATTCCAAACACGCCACGTTTATGTTACCATGAGTGCGTGTGACTTTCCAAACAAGTTGCAGTGCAACGTCGTATTGTGGATTCGGTCCAAATTTACGAAGCGACGCCATGATTGATTGGCTACTTCTATGTTTGAGTGGGTTTGATTGGCTCTTACAGAAAGGAGAAGAAGTAGATTCAACCAATCACAGGAGTTTCCAGTGTGTTGATGCAATCTTGATTCATGCGAATTTTGTTGGGGAATTTATACCAAAGTCCCATGTATTTCTGTATATATATAGTCCCATGTATTTCTGTATATATATATATATATATATATATATATATAATGCATTTCACCCGACAGAGTCGTCATTTGGCCAAATAGCTTTCAAATTTATTTGAAATCCTATTTCGTCTTGTACACACTATACGATACAAATATTCGTATATATGTGGGTTTGTCCAATGCAAACTTGGGTCAAACGTTTGGATTGGCAGAAATTCGACAGGATAGCGTGATTTGATTGGCTTCGGCGGATCTTTTCAAAAGACATTCGATTCGTTTCCAGTTTTCGAATATCGATGATTCGACAATATTTATATATATATAAAATCTTGTATAGATCCGGGAATGGCTACTCGGCCGCATCAACGACCTAAAGAAGCCCAAGACAAACGTGCAGATGGTCCAGCAGACCACATTGGTCAAGATGAAGTACGTGCTGTTCTTTCTAAACGACCACGCGCCGTCGGTCGCGTCCGAGCTCACGGAAACGTACGCCGACACGATGAGTCGGCTGCTCGTGGGGGTATTCAAGGCGTACCACACGGCACTGTTCAAGTTTGTGGACGAGAGCGCGGGGCGGACGGACGTGGTCGCGGTCGAAGAAGCGTCGCTCAAGGCGTCCATGTTCAGCTCCCGCGTCAAGCCGACCAATGCATTTGCTCTGGGGGATCGCGACAAGGTGGTCGAGAATGCCGTGGCGCCGCCCATATTGGTGCACATGGCGCAGGCGGAAGGCGGGAGATGGCCATACGAAGCGCTCTTCCGATCGACGCAAGTGCATCTCGTGAACGCTGCCACGTCAGAGTATTTGTTTTTGCTCGACTTTTTCAAAGCCGCCGAAGGCTCCAATCCCGTGCGCGTTCGCGAGCTATTCCTTCGCATATTTGCAAAAACACTCAGCTTGGGCCTCGAACAGCTGGAAAACTACCTATGTACGTGCTACGACGCGATTGGGTTGCTGCTCATGGTACGCCTGACCTTGCAACACCAGCAAGTTCTGCAGCAACGCCGAGTTCCCGTGCTCGAGACGTACTTGAATCGCGTATTGTTGCTCTTGTGGCCGCGGGTATATGCAGTGTTGGAGCTGAACGTGCAGAGCGTCAAGACTGCCAAGCCCAAGAAGCTAGGAAACGTCGAGCTCCATCCGCATTATGTGACAAGAAGGTACGCGGAATTCGTGGCGAGTGTGCTGGCGCTCGTGCCCGACGCAGCGGCGGCGGCGGGCGTGTATGGCCACATGGCGGCGTTGCGCGGAGCGTTGGTCGAGTTGCTCGACAAGTTGGCTGAGAACGCGCACAAAACGGCCAAGGACAAGATTGTGTTCTTGATCAACAACTACGACTTGGTTGTGAGTGTGGTGCAAGAGCGAAAGATCGAGTCGGACGAGTTGTTTGACGAGTTGCTGACCAACTCTCGCGACAAGTTTGTCGAGGAAGAGTTGCTCAGCCACTACGGGCCGTTGATTGGGTTTGTGCAGCAAGCAGAAGCAAAACAACGTACGATCGGTGGTGGGGATGCGACCATCCCTCTTGACAGCGCCAAGGTCGAGCGTATCGTAAAGGACTTTAATGGCCAATGGAAACGAGGCATTGAACACATCAACGCGAACGTGATGAAGTTCTTTAGCAATTTTCGCAATGGCATGGAAATTCTCAAGCAAGTGCTCACGCAACTGCTGCTGTACTATACGCGGTTTGTGGACCTGGTCAAGAAGAGCTGGACGCGGCCGCCCAGCTTTAGCAACGACATCGTGACGACCCAAGAGATCTTGTACGAGATCAAAAAGTACAGCCGGTCGTTCTAATCATCACCTTGTACATTGATACTTCACCTGAAAAGATTTAAATAGACTTTAGTTGGTCGAGTTTTGGTACTATTATACTACGTTACTAATACGTAAACCGGTAGTACGTACAGTTAGTAACTTGTATTAATAAGTACTATTAATACTACCGGTACCTAATGTTAACTGTACTGTACACTGACAGTGAACTTTGTATATACGGTGTGATGCTATTGACACTATTTGAAGTCACACACACTAATTCGATGGTTACTGTGGTTTGATTGGTCACTTCGATTCAGCACTCGAAATTCGAATCATACGATGGAGGATACAAATCCCAAGATAAATAAATGGTCAAAGCGCATGTATTTGTAAAAGACGGTTACATATGACGCCCTTTTAGAACTCGAGTGGACGGACACGCATAAACTCGCGGATCTGGTCGTCCGTGATGGCGGCGCGCTTGGCCTGGAAGGCGGCGTTGGTTTCCGTCATCACTTGGATCAATCGGTCCTTGACGACCCCCGACATCATGCGGCCGCTGCCGTATTCCTCGGCCAAATGCGCGAGCTCGGCATCGTCTTCGAGCATGAACGTCAGGTACTGGAACGGGATGTCCACGTCCAGGTTGGCGCCGTACTTTTCATGGTCGGCTTTGGTTTCCCCGCCGCCGCTGAACGCAAAGCGGCGGATCTTGTCGGCGACAACGTCGTCCGCGTCCGAGATGTAGATGGTCGCCGACGCGTTGCTGCCGCTCATTTTCGTGGACGCGCCTGCACACCCAACCACATATCATCAATTATCATCATATAGACCACCATATATATACCTTGCAACGCTGGAAAGAACTTTGAAAAGATAAGCGTGGGTTTCTGGTAGCCTATCCGGGGCGCGACATCCCGCGTCATGCGGAAGTACGGGTCCTGATCGATCGCACAGGGGATCAAACATCGGAGGTCCGTCCGGCCCGAGAACGGCACCGGAAACGTCTGGGGGAACGACGGGCACGCCTGGACGGCGGGGAACGCCGACTTGCCAATATTGTCACTGCCAGAGAACCCAAAGATCCCGCGCACTTGATTGTACGTGACACATTTTTGGATCTTGAGGATCTCGGGGTACATGGCGCCAATGTAGTCGGCGTTGCGAAATATGAACGTCTTGGCCGGGTCGAAGCCGCATGCGATGATGTCCTTGGAGTTCTCCCACGCCATCACTTCGCTTTCTTCGAGGGTCTGGTCCTTGAACAGGAACTTTTCATCGTCCGTGAGCTGGATCACGAGCGGCACGTCAAACACTTTCTGCAACCACGCTGTAAATGTAAACGGAATCAGATGGCCCAAGTGCAAACTCCCAGAAGATGGGCCGCGGCCCGTGTACAGGTAGAACTTTTGCCCGTTCTCGTACAGGTCGAGGATCTCGTTGAACTCACGGTGGGCAAAGAAGTACCCGCGGCGGAGGTACCGATGCGCTGGAACCTATTGGAGTATGTATATGAGGGCTAGTAGTACTACTAGTAGTAGGACGCACGCACCCCCGTCAACCGCTCGACGCGCGCGACAAGGTCCTCGGTTAGCGTCGAGCACCCAAATGTGTCGATGAGCTTCTCGTAGTCGACGCCGCCTTCCGCCTCCACTTCCCATGGGGTCACGGTTTGGCCGCTGGACGCACCATGCAAAGACGTGTGATGGGCATACTTGGCTTGGCGCATGACCAAGTTGGCGCCGCTCGGGATGGCGGACGTGGCGTCCACGGGTTTGGCGGTCGCAGACGGTTTCGCAGGCTTCTTGGACGCTGGCTTGTCTTTGGGGGCGGCCGACGCAGAAGCCGCAGCCTTTTCAGCCAGCTTCTTCTCCTTCTTCAACTGACTCTTGGATTTTTCACCGTCCGCCTTAACGGCGTCCGTCGCAGCAGCCTTGGCAGGCTTCGGGGCAGCCGCAGGGGCCTTGTACTCTTGGCCGGTCGCCGTCTTGAACTCGTCCTTGAGCTTCTTCAGCTCCCCAAGCTGCGTTTGGAAGTCCTTTTTCTCGCCCTTCAATTGACGGATCTCGTTGCCTTTCGCCACGATGGCGGCTTCCAAGGCTTGACCTGTCATGACGATAACCAGTTCTGAAATTCGAAATGGCCATCAATCGAGTGGAAAATTGTGGTGGACAAATCGACACGTCTATGTCTATTTTTATTCGTTTCCATAGAAACATCAAGATGTCATTGACGCGGTCTTTATTATTTCACCACTAGAATTTGCACAACTCGATTAAATACGCCCGTGTTCTACTTCTGCTCCCAGACGACATATTAAAAGCGGTACCGCTTCCTACTTCAAGTAGTGGATATGTATTTCACAAAGTTATTAAGACCTCTTTCGTTTGATATCCCGTATTAACCAATCTTTCTCGACCTGTATACATTAATATTATATGACCTTTTTGCCATTTTCACAGTGCGATGGCGACAACCACGCTCCACTCTGGCCTGAGCCACCCCGCGATGCGCGCGTGGACCGAGCCTACGCTGCATGCGTCCCAGCTCATCTACCCGCTCTTCATCACGGGTCGGCCAGACGACAACCCGATCCGCGGCCTCGAGCCGAACGTGCAGTGGGGCAACCGCGACAAGTACGCGTCGCTGGTCGCGCACTTGGAAGGCCTCGTCGCCAAGGGGCTGAGCAGCGTCATGTTGTTTGGGGTCGTAGACAACAAGGACGCGTCGGGATGCATGGCGGACGACCCATCGACGCCCGTGATCGAGGTCATGGCGGCGTTGCGCGCGGCGCTGCCGTCGCTGCTGCTCTCGTGCGACGTGTGCATGTGCGAGTACACGGACCACGGCCACTGCGGCCTGCTCAAGCCCTCCCCTCACGGCGGAGAAGACATCATCGACAACGCCGCGACCGTCTCGCGCCTCGGCGCCATCGCGCTCGCGTACGCCCGGGCCGGCGCGCACATGGTGTGTCCATCCGATATGATGGACAACCGCATCGGCGTGATCCGCGCGACGCTCAACGCGCACGGGTTCGCGCACGTGAGCATCATGGCGTACACGTCCAAGAAGGCATCGTGCATGTACGCGCCGTTCCGCGACGCGGTCGAGTCGACGTTCAAGGGCGACCGCCAGCGGTACCAGCACCCCGTGGGCAGCCTCTCGCACGCGCTGCTGGCGTACGACCGCGACGTGGCCGAAGGAGCCGACACGGTGATCGTCAAGCCGAGTCTGTTCTACACCGACATCGTCCGGGCGCTGAGCGACAAGAAGCTCGTGCCCGTGGCGTGCTACGTCGTGTCGGGCGAGTACAAGATGCTCAAGGACTACGGCGACTCGACGGGCTCCATGGACGCCGTGGTGCGGGAGGCCCACTTGAGTCTCGTGCGCGCCGGCGCCAACATCCTCATCACGTACTTTACGCCGTTCATCCTGAACCGCGTCGCCGGTTGGTGATAAAGGTGTAACTAATAAATGTATCATTCACACTGAATAGTGCTGAGTTTTCGACCGTCATTCTTGTGTCGGAATGAATGTTCATATTGATGTTGTTAGCAGTAAACTGGTTACTACTTGTTAGAAGTATGTATTCTGCATTCGAATACAGAGTGCTTGTAGTCCTGCTGCCACATACGTGCCAGAGCCATGACGCTGTGAATGCCGACAAGTGCCGTTGGACGAACTTCATGGAGCTTCCGCTGCCTCTTGGGTGACTCTTTCTGCACAAGTCGTTTCGTAACAGTCCGTTACGCCACATGGATTGGTATCCGGATCATGTCGTTCGTAAAGTGAAGGATACAATGATCAAGTGTAATTGGGGACAGCATCATCAGTGGAGAAATTATCCGGTTGCTCCAAATGCAAAATCCATCGCGATCTGCATATTCTGGCCGAGCGCATTGAGTTGTCGACGGTGGCGAGAGTAGACGAAGAAGAAGAGCTACCCAATTGAACGGACACACTGTGTCGGGAACTTACCATCGTTGCATTGCCAGCGACCAGAACAGAACGCAACCATGCCCGCTGCACCCCAAACGACCAAGCACAACCGCCTTCGAACCTGCAGCGCACTGCCCGCAGAATCCATTTGCCAGAGGTTTGCAGAAACAGGAGCATGCAAGTTTGGATATCGATGTCGAAACCTGCATATCATCGATGGCATTCTAAACGGAGACATGTAGTACACCATCCCAGTTGACTCGAATCTGTCGTGCTGAAGCGTGGCTCTCGTAGGATTCATCCAACTACTACCTTGCCGGCGGTACCTGCATCCAGCAATCAAGACGAGAACAACGTTCCTTCACCCCCACAATTCGCTCGGGTCTCTCCAGCGTGTCCACCGATTGCTGCCGAATCATCCAACTGTGTTGAATGGCCTCTTCCTCGCCCTCCGTACGCCCGCACCTCTCATCCCGATCCATCCAACCAGCTCACTTGGTCCTCTTCTTGTAGCCCGTCGTCAACCAAACAGCTCGCAGCCAGCCGCAATCCCCGCTTGTCCAAACCACGATTAAGTGGCGACGATGCGGCCAACAAGGGCCACGCTGCAGCCAGTGACCAACTCCTGCCATCCAACGTCACTTGCGACGCGGTCAACAACCAAGGTCAGAGCACTCTTGGCTACACTACACCCTCCACAACCACATATATCATCAGGTGACGGTCAGCAAGTCCTTGCCGCCAGCCTGCTTCCGCTCCCACCACCACAGGAACCACCCGTGTTTCTTGGCTACAACATGCATCGGTACCAACAGCTCCTTATCCAATCATTCTCAACATGAGCCATTCATAGGTGGCTGGCGCATGAAATCGAGGCACTAGTTCACCAAGTGGACGTGAAAATGCACACTGCTCGCGACAAACAACGCCGAGCCACGATGAAATTGAGCGGACTTGTGCGTGAACTGTGGCCGCATGTGACAGTGGAGGTGTACGGGTCGACGCACACGCAGCTCTGTCTGCCTCACAGCGACGTGGATTGCGTGCTGGTGTCGTCCAAAACGTTAACAACATCCCCCGTGGACATGCTGGAAGCGTTGATGGAGAGACTGGAGGCTTGTGCGTGGGCTAGGCACGTGGAACTGCTCCGCAGCGCTCGCATTCCCATCTTGAAGCTGCACTTCGTCAAATGCAGGCATCCCGTCAAGATGGACGTCACGTGCGGTCACTCTCCTGGGCACAGCGGGATGGAGGCGCGCGGAGTGGTCGATCAGTATCGCATGGCCATGCCGGCGCTGCGACCGCTTGTGATTGTGCTCAAGTCGCATTTGCACGCCAAAGGTAGATATTTACCGGATATGAAAATAGATGAACATTTTCATCTTTTTCGTGACAGTTTCAGTTTTCGAAAATTTGACCTTTTCCATGGTGTAGGTCTGAATGCGTCGTACTCTGGCGGACTGTCGTCATATGCGCTCGTGTTGATGGTCGTTCGATTCCTTCAAGTAAGACATGACAGATGCATGTGTGCACATGTCAAGCACACGGCGGTGTAGTTCCAAGGCGATGTACACACTGCCTTCAAAGAGGAGTTGGAGCCCCACACGGACGAAGGCAGACAACCATGCGTGATCTACACGTTTTTCCGCACGGGTACATATGTACCAACATGGGACGAACATGGAGCTGACGATGGGGAATATCTTAGGGATGGTGGTGTGGCAAGGCACGATTGGGATGCTGCTGCTCCAGTTCTTGGACCTACACATACATTTCGACTTTCACCGGTATGGCATGTCCATTGCCAATGGCGGGTACGTTGCCCCGCATGAGAAGGAGTCACATGATGACGGTGAGGGTGTAGGGAATACTTTGAGATTGACCCAGCTGCCACGGCGGTGTCGTTCCCCCCTGTGTCGCCCATGGTTTATATCATGGACCCACTCCGATATAACCACAACATTGGCAACTCGTTCCGCATCCACGAGGTAGCATCACCATGATCCCAGGTGCATGTGGGCTTGACGGCGGAGATAGATTGTCCATGCGTGGCGAGTTTGGCGCGACCAGATCCTTCAGCGGGTATCGCTCAAGGAGACATTGACGTAGCCATGCTCCCTCCACAGCTCCCTTCACAGACGGACGCATGCCGTCCTTAGGCCCACGCCATTTTGCTTCCACTTATCTAATGTTACAATTGCACACTTCAACATCCACGTTTGTTGTCGTTATCCGGATTCGAATTATCCGGTATAACACCTCCCATTCTTGCACTGTGAACATGGCAACCCTTCCGACGACGCGCGAGGCAACCAAGGCATGTTGATGTGCGTGTTTTGCATGCTATTGGGCTAACGGATGCGTAGGAGATCAATGGCGTGGAGACAACCCTCATCGTATCCGAGTTCAGCGACCGGATCTTCGTGGCCGTGACCCAACTCGGCACCTTTGGCACCATTGTATGCCGCCATCTTTGACTCCATTCTTTGTCTACACGATCTTGTGTAGCTCGAAGCGACAAGCAAGGAGAACATGAATGGCAACCTGCTCGTGGACATCTCGGTCCGTCTCGGCAAGCGGGACGACCCGCTGCTGTTGGTGTATGCGCGGCAATTCCTCGAGCATTTTGGGTACTTTACCCCCTGCATATATGTTTCACTTCTAGTCTCTTAACACAGTCGGCATGACGCGTGTAGAATCCCGCGTGGAAAGTCCATCGTCGCGGCCGTGGGGCTCAAGGACCGCAGTTCTGCCACGTTTGAAGTGGTCATGGCGTCATTGAAAGCACTTCTTCCTTAGACCGAATCATTCCATCAACAAAAGATGCTTCTTCTACCATGACCTGCCGTCTTCACCAACCGGCGACGTGGTCCAGGATGAACGGCGTAAAGTACGTGATGAGGATGTTGGCGCCGGCGCGCACGAGACTCAAGTGGGCCTCCCGCACCACGGCGTCCATGGAGCCCGTCGAGTCGCCGTAGTCCTTGAGCATCTTGTACTCGCCCGACACGACGTAGCACGCCACGGGCACGAGCTTCTTGTCGCTCAGCGCCCGGACGATGTCGGTGTAGAACAGACTCGGCTTGACGATCACCGTGTCGGCTCCTTCGGCCACGTCGCGGTCGTACGCCAGCAGCGCGTGCGAGAGGCTGCCCACGGGGTGCTGGTACCGCTGGCGGTCGCCCTTGAACGTCGACTCGACCGCGTCGCGGAACGGCGCGTACATGCACGATGCCTTCTTGGACGTGTACGCCATGATGCTCACGTGCGCGAACCCGTGCGCGTTAAGCGTCGCGCGGATCACGCCGATGCGGTTGTCCATCATATCGGATGGACACACCATGTGCGCGCCGGCCCGGGCGTACGCGAGCGCGATGGCGCCGAGGCGCGAGACGGTCGCGGCGTTGTCGATGATGTCTTCTCCGCCGTGAGGGGAGGGCTTGAGCAGGCCGCAGTGGCCGTGGTCCGTGTACTCGCACATGCACACGTCGCACGAGAGCAGCAGCGACGGCAGCGCCGCGCGCAACGCCGCCATGACCTCGATCACGGGCGTCGATGGGTCGTCCGCCATGCATCCCGACGCGTCCTTGTTGTCTACGACCCCAAACAACATGACGCTGCTCAGCCCCTTGGCGACGAGGCCTTCCAAGTGCGCGACCAGCGACGCGTACTTGTCGCGGTTGCCCCACTGCACGTTCGGCTCGAGGCCGCGGATCGGGTTGTCGTCTGGCCGACCCGTGATGAAGAGCGGGTAGATGAGCTGGGACGCATGCAGCGTAGGCTCGGTCCACGCGCGCATCGCGGGGTGGCTCAGGCCAGAGTGGAGCGACGTTGTAGTCGTCGTCGACGTCGACGGAGCAGTTGGAGTGTGACTTGGTCGTTTATGGGCCAATTGGGGAGGCAAGGCGACGGAAGGAGTAGGTCTGGGTTGGGTGATGGGTGGGGCTGTCTGCTTCTTGAACGGTACATGTGGTGAGACTGCATGGGAGTCGGTGGCATTGGTTCCATCATGGGAGGAATGGAAGGTGCGTCGCTTTAGGGTCGGGTACGCGTTTCGGACGTCATCAGGTGCGGACACGCATTGTCGCATGTGCATCCTCCACCGCTCCTTCGCTTGGGACGACATCTTACCGCCGCAATGCTTGCATGTCGTGATGCGGTTGGGACCTTTCCCATCATGGTTCACTTCTTCGTCAATGTGCTTTCCCATTATTGCAACTTTACTGTCCAGTAGAATTGTACCGTCCAATTCGTAACTGTATGACTGCACTAGTATTACTAGTTGGTCCTACTAAAGTGGTACTAGTATACAGTTAATCGTACAGTTGTCAGTACGTACTACTACTCCGTCGTAATTTATTTCAAAAGCTTTATTTGAACAAGTAATTTGTATTCGACGTCATGATATTTTATTTCCCGCTTGCCTGGACTGTCTGTCATCTGCAACGCTCTGTCCAAGGCACTAGTACGCTCATACTACGTAACGTTAACACATTGAAGTCAACCACGCTGCCTTCAATGGCAGTACTGAATGAATGTACGGTGATGTACTGTACTGTACTGGCCAAATCTAAATAGGCTTTTTTCGTACATCGTACGTACATTGTACAGTACACATGGTGTAGAAATTTCAAGTGCTGAGTTGGGAGTGTTGATTACATTCTGAGGAACGCCGCCTTTGTCATCGCACTCCACAAAACAAACTTAGATGCGACCAGCAACCTCCTCTGCACCTCTGGCAGTCTTGGCGCTGCTGCTGCAGCCTCATGCCGTCCACAGCATTAGACAGCTGCAACTTCATCGCAGCAATGCCTATGATGTCTCCATCAAGAGAAACCTACATACCAACGAGCGCCACCGCCGCCTCGACGATGGACTGTACGAGGTCGTGCCGTTAAACCTCGGGATGGGCACCCATTACACGTGGATCTACGCCGGTACGCCGCCACAACGCGCATCAGTCATTGTGGACACTGGCAGCCATCAGCTTGCGTTTCCATGCAAGGGGTACCGATCCATGCATCGTTCTCTCGTGTATCGCTAACAACTCGTGTAGATGCACGGGCTGCGGAAAGCACACGGACGTTCCATTCGATGCGTCCAAGTCGTCGTCGCTGGTGTACCCTACGTGTGAAGATGTTGGCAAGGACACGGCGATCACATGCGCATCGTGCACGAAGAACAACACTTGCGAAGTGAACCAAATGTACTCGGAAGGGAGCAGTTGGAAGGCGGTGGTGGTCGAAGACAACGTGTGGCTGGGCGATAAAGCAGAATCGGACACTGACAACAACTTTAGCACGAGGTTTCGCTTTGGGTGTCAGTACCACGAGACAGGTCTCTTCACGACCCAAGTGGCCGACGGAATCATGGGACTTTCCACCAAAGGTACATATTTGGTCCTTTGCTTCAATACGTCCGTCATGTCGAACATGTGTAGCGCCGACTGTGATCAAGAAGCTGTTTCAAGATGACAAAATCTCCCAAAATGTGTTTTCGCTCTGCTTTACCTCCACCGGAGGCGCCATGACAGTCGGGAGCCATCACTCCCCCCCTCGCCATGAAGAAGACATGAAGTTTGCCAAAGTGAGCTTTGATGCTACGGGATGGTACGCATTAGACGTGCGCGGTATTCGCATCCACGGCGAGGACATCCATATCGACTCGCCGCGGCTGTTAAATGGCGGGCGGAAAGTGGTCATTGATAGCGGTACCACCGACTCGTACCTTCCTGACGCGCTCGTGGGGGAGTTCAATCGCGTGTTCCAGAAGGTCATGGGGAAAAAGTACGTCACGGGCGGTATGGACGGATATACCGAGGACGAAGTTGAGCTGCTTCCGACGATTGAATATGTCCTCGCAGGTAAATTCAAGGTCTCCACAGAAGTGTTCGTGATGCGTGGATAGGAGTCGATGAAGACGATGTTGTGATGACGATCCCACCGAGTCGATACCTGAAAAAGAAGGCAAACGGACGGTTCTACTCGTCGATCCTGTTGGACGAACCAGGTGGCGGCATCATCGGTGCCAACCTCATGCTCAACCACGATTTTGTGTTTGACGCGGATCGGAATCGAGTGGGATTTGCTAAAGCTAATTGCGGTAGGAAGAGGCACAGGTGGTGGTGGTGGTTGATGGCGTTTGGTAGAGTTTGAAGAAGTGGTTGCCGCGACGGATGCATCGTCGTCGCTAGGCAGCGAGGAAGATTATCCGTTGGTGTTGACGTTGGGAGGGGTAGCCATCGCGTTGTTGTTTATCGTTGGGATGGCTGTTGCCGTGTGCAAGTCAAAAGATCCGCGATGGACCCAAGTCAACTTGAACGAGTTGGACGTTGACGAAGAAGCTGGGCTCGTTGTGAGTTCGGTGACCGAGAAGGAAGACGGTGCTGCGTCCGTGACGGAGGAAGGCGAGGCATCATACGACACCCCTCCAGACGAAGATGACGAGTTCTTCAACGCGCAGCATGAGGATGCGGTCGACGGCGCGGACAAGGCCGAGCTGCATCGCATGGACCTGTAGATTGATCGAATTTGAGCAGTAAATTGTGTTGGTTGTTTCCGGATAAACGTGTTTGAAATCCGGATAACACGAGCCAATCTAACGAACTCTCCAAGATACAATTGACCTTTCATCATGACGAACGTCAACGTCGTCGGCACCTCAAGCGGAGACACCCAGTGGACGGCGATGGAACCGCCATCAGATCCAAAGTACATGCGCGATGGAGTCACGTCCTTCTGCCAATCCTTCGCCAACGATACATCGGTCACCATCGTTGCACCTGAGGATACCTTGATCTTTGAGCAACAACGATCTCCCATCCAAGGCATGAACACGACCGTCACTTGGACGTACGACTCCCCTTCTATCAACACTTCCGACATGCGTTACTCCACATGCGTCCGAGACACGTGCGCACCATTCCTCGATGCTAAGAACTCGTCGTCTACGATCCAGGAGGTGTCGTTACCTGGACAAGGCATATTCCCCCTCCACCTGCGCCTGCTTTGGACGACTCCGTCGACGGTGGTTCAATGCGAGGGCATCGTGTCCGTCGATTTTAGCGTTCCTACCACCTCAGATGTCGGCAACAACCACGTCATCACCATCGTCGTGGTCATCACCGTCGTCATGGGTTTCGTTGTTCTCGCTACTCATATCTACAGGCGTCGGCGTTCCTTTCGTTCGAAACCGACCGACACGACCATCTCCGTGGACCTTCCTCCGTCCATGTCCCTCGCTCCCCCGGCACCTTCATCGACGTGGTTTGAGTCGATATACCACAACGACCGCGCCCTTCCCGCGTCCATCCTCCACGACGACCGCTTCACCCGCGCCATTCTCCGCAGCAGCGTGCCTTCCGACCACGACCAAAGTTTCCATTCCGACCTGTTAGACTCGTCCGTCGCATCGTCGTCGTCCATGAACACCCCCTGGCACGACTGCGGACACATAAACTCGTCCAACAGCTCCACTGTGTACCCCATGTCCGACTAAGATATTCGTTCATATGGTACATACGTGTTATATTCTCCAGGCCTTGCACCTACCCCACCTTGCTCTGCACCTACATTCACGCCATCACCACGGACACCACATCGACGACATTGGGTACCTTTAACAGTTGGTCGGGGGGTAGTTCGAGTCGATGCGGCGGGGACGTGGTCAGTAGGTGCAGCTCCACGCTGCACACAATCTCCTTAACTGGCCGCCTCTCGTCTTGTCCAAACGTAAACACCTTGCCTTGCTGCTGCTGCACCTCCTCGTCCTCTTCTGCACCCCCATGTATACATACATCAACATCCGTCAGATATATGCCATGCATACAGTGTCACATACGCAACATGGTCAGTTCGACGGTCGCGTCCTCTGCGCCGTGCAGCATGCTGGCTGTGACATCGTACCTATCGCCAACATCGTGAGTCAAAGATATATATATAAATATATATATATATATATTGTTGATGTGTTTCGAGTGAGAATGAATGTACACAACCAAAGTGCAGAAGAAGGATTTAGCCAATCAAATTGCATCAAAAAAGTCAAATTAGTGTGTATGACTTCAATTAGTGTGTGTGACTTCAATTAGTGTCAAACCAATTTACTACATACAAAATTCAAGACAAACAATCGATCGATGGATTTGGCGAATTACAAAAGTCAGCCAACTTTTGGGTAAAAGGATGTCAATATGCTTCAGGGTGGGTACTGTACCCCAGCTGCGCGAGGCTGTATCCCCGTGGATCGTGCTCATTCCGCACGACAACATACTCCATCGCAGCATACTCCAATGCTTCTATCGGGTCTTCTTCCCTATGGAGGAGGCCACCGCCGGCGACGTCTTCTTCAGGCGACGGCGGCGGCGGGTCCGCCACCTCCTCGTCCTTGAACAGACCCCGGCAGGTTTGCATATGGCGGCGCATCCGTCGAGGAGATGACACGAGAAGGTCTTCTTTTTCTTGTTTCAACGAGTGAGGGTCAAGCCTACTGCTGCCCACGTGGCAGTGCCGACACTCGACGCCCAAGTACCATCCCAACCGAGGCGCTCGAGGTATAAAGTGCGTCCACAACACTGTCGGCCACGGCCGCTTTCTTGTGTGCATATCTTGGATGGGGTTTTCAACGTCCATAGAGTTATCTTCTTCCTTGTCCACTGCCAACTCGGCTTTGCACGGGGCTTGTAAAAACGAAGTGGTTGCATCAGAGTCGACTACTGGGATCGACGATTGGGGGGACGCTACTGGCTGGTCTGTAGACATCAGCGCCGCTTGAATCTACCCAAATGCACACCCAATACAAACGTTATTAACCAAATACTTATATATCGTCGATTTTCTACCCATTTTAATATATTTTTCCATGGTGAAGAGCACACCCATGCCGAGAAGACACCTGATTGGCTAATATCCACTTTGCCCTTTTCATAGAAAATCGAACATGGATTGTAGCCAATCAGCAACAAGTAATTTCGGATTGACCAATCAAAGAGATTGGTCGCTCGGCGCGATTCGGACACTTTTATTCCAATAATAAAAAAAACCATTTCGAAAACCAAGTATATAGTAGAATGTTTTATTTTTTTCCAAATAATCAAAAAAAACTATCAGGTAACATGAAAAAAAAACATTCTTGTTCCCAACATGGAATATAAGACACACCACGATATCCCATTGAAATACCTACTAAATCATCGATTAACTAACGTTAGTTAGTACCTTGTCCAACGAGCGGGGGGGAAGGTTGTACAGGTCTTGGCTGCACACGAGGTCGACTTGGCACAACACGTCGGAGGTTGCAACTGTGGCTTGTACCTTGGACAGCGCGAACCAGGCAGGCCGTTCTGCTGATGACTGTGTGAGCCACTCCAACGTCGTCGTGTCGATGGCTTCTTCCAAGGGCAGTGCGAGATGGAAGAGCTGGTTGGCGCGGGTCGGGTGCTGCGTCCGGACGGCCAGCGCACTGACCATGTGCGACGAGATGGAGATAGGTCCTTTGGCGCGGCGGCGGGGCTGGAGGGGCGCCATGTCGGCGTCGGCCTTGCGGAACGCCGTGAGCGCGTCCGCCGGGACGTGCGCGCACTTGAACAGGTGCGTCTTCATGCGCGCCATGGCAGACACAAACACCTTGGGCGGAGTCGTCCCGGCGGCGGCGGCGGCGTCGTGGCAGTGCTTGCATTCGACGTACCAGTTGTTGTAGTACTTGGCCATATCCGTGCGCTTGATAAAGTGTTCCCAGATGTACGCCGTGCTGTACGCGGTCGCAGGCGTGCTCGCTTCCTTCGCGACTGGTTCTGTCGCGACAATGAGACGAAGAAAGGACAGATGGTGTAAGTCGTACCGCCAGAGGGCTGGATCTTCACAAGCGTCGGGCGTTTCTTCGTGCCGGACGGCGACCCGTCGTGGCCATTACTACTCGTGGACTTTCGCTTGGGCGCTACGACCTTGACGGGGGACGGCGGCATGTCGTTGCCGATGACTTTACGTGCGTGTACACACCAGCGCAGATGAGCCATCATCTTAACGGTCGTGCTGATAACAATCTCGGGCGGCGAAACGTCGTCGTCGGACGCCCGCTTGTCGTAAGCGTCGCGACAGTGGCGGCACTCGACGCGCCAGTTGTTGAAGTACTTGTCCAGGTCTCGTCGCTTGACGAAGTGTGCCCAGATGTGCGCTGTGCGGTTTGTGCCTTGTCGGCCTGGGCGCTCCACGGGAGCTGCTGCCGTTGCTTCTGCCATGCCGCCCGCTGGTACAGTAGTAACGTTAGATCGGCACACCTGGATGGAAACCACGAAATTCCAGTATGCGTTGAGCGTTCTGAACACGTTCGGTTCGACGTTTTGGTTTTACAACGTTTCCTACGCGTTTAAACACAATAGTTCTTTTAAGAACTCGAAGAATATGGTTTTTTAAATGCTTTAAAATATAAGAAGATTCTTTTAATTGAAAAAAGCTATGGTACCATTTTGACATGGCCGTGGCGATCGGAGCATCGTCGCACCGCCTCCTTGTTGGACTCACGCCGCACAATGTCTGCGTGGGCTTCCTCATCGCCATGTACATTCGCGAGTATGAAGCATGCAGCATGTCCATGGACGTCCATGCGAACGATGGCATCAACCCACATCATGCGTTGGCGGTGTTCCTCATGGAACACACATGTGGATCCAGGTCAAGCGGTCCGTTGACATTTGCCGCCTTTTGTGCTGCCCTGGATACGATCAACCCAACGTGGTCGATGGAGTTCCAGGTCGTGATGCGTCGCCTGAGCACGCGCTCGGTCCATGACCTCGCCGAGTGTCTGGTCACGTTGTGTCTCCCTGGAACAGACGACGTGCTCGTAGCGTCGACCCCATTCGGTCGGTTCGCACGCATGCTCGCTCTTGCGATCCACTCGGCGTTCTTCGACGGCCTTTGCATTTTGCGCGACCACATGCAGTCCTTCGTCGCTCCCTCCACCCCTTCCGTCCCCACCACCGCCGCTCCATCCTCTCTCCTCGACACCGACCATTCATCCCCTATCGACGACGTCCATTTCCGCACCGCTCTCCAAACCGACCCGACATCTCCCCGCCTCCTCTTCGCGCGCTACGTAAACTTCCAGCGGCGCCGTGAGTTCCTAGGAGCATTAGATGCGTTGCACGCATACCACAACATCGCCCTCCACGTCGCGACCGACGTGCCCGACATGAAGCGCTTCGGACCGCATTACGCATCGCTCAACCTCGCCATCTTCTACTGGACCTTCGGCCATCCCGCCAAGGCCACCGCCGCGCTCCATGAGGCCGTCCGCGTCGCGCAGAGCGCGCGAGACAACGTAAGGTCATATTCGTCCATCACAGTGATGACGATTGTATGCATGCATTATTAGGTGTGTGTCGCGTATGCATTGAGCTACCTCTTGCAATGGGATTGTGCCCCATTTGACCTCCAGCGAGCGCTTCATTGCATGTCCATGGCGGACGCCGCGGGGCTGCCGCGCCTATCGCTCCTGGCCAAGTTGACGTGCATCCAGCACGGCAGCTCCGCTCCTCCGTCTACTCCTCCGTCTGTGCAGCCCCTTCGATCGTGGCTGGCGGTACAGGCATGTGGAACTGCCGCGAACGCCGCCATCACGACACCTCCCCCGTCGTCCTTGGCGAGTGGGGAGATGGAGCCCAAGCAGGCCAAGCTGGAGGCGTGGGTGCACACCCAGGTGCAGATCGGACTCACGCAAGCCGCGGTGTGGCGGCGCCTGGGCTTTCGATCAATGCAGCGCCTGGCGTTGGCTAGGGTTTGGGTTATGCTGTCTCCACCACACACGGCCGAACACTCGGTCCACGACATTGCCCTTTTGGTAAATATATATATTTATATTTATTTATATATATCTTTTAAATATATATATATATCTTTGTTTTGTGTCAAATGATTATCTTTCTTGTGTAGCTCTGCCATCAAGCCGACATGCAGTTGGCAGCTCCACAGGACGGGTCGTCGTCTGCGACTAGTCCTACTACTACTAGTACTACTACTACTCCTACTACGTGGACAAACTCGACGTTGTACGCCCCGGCGCTTCGGCAGTTAGTAGCTTCGGTGCTCCACTTGGACGAGGGTACTACTAGTAGTACTACTAGTTCTGCCCACAAGGCCACCAGCGACGTCGTGTGGCAAGACATGGTCATGCAGCAGACAGTTGTCCGCATTTGCTTTGAATGGGCGCTGGCGACGATGGAACTGCGTAAAGCAGAAACGTACTTGCATATATGGGAGGCATTGCACTCCACCTTGATGCCATTAGGGGATGACGTGGAGCTGGCTCTGGCCAAAGGTAATCCTTGTCGTCGTGTGTCCAGTTGATAGTATTGTCGCATGCTGACGACTAGCGCGGCTCTACCGGCGGCAAGACAGACCGCAGGATGCATGGAAGCTCCTTCAAGGAGTTCCAAAAGTAGAGTTGCCGCCGTATGGCCGCGCCCAAGTGATGCTCCAGCTCTCGCATGTACTTTGCACAGAATGAGATGGATATGACACGCTGATGAGACTAGGTCACACTGCATGCTGACGCGCCGTTCAATGCGCTCCCGGCGTTGATGGAATGTTTGGCGCTGTGCGAAGACATCGGAAGCGAAGTCCTCATGGCACAGGCAAAGGTGCTGCTCGCGCGGCTGTATGTGGCGATGGAACGAGCGGAGGATGCAGTCGCGCTGTTGGAAGAGATCTGTCCTTACGTACTGTACATGCTCGTTTCAAAATGCCGCAGCAGTGATGGGGAATGCTTGCGTGCGTAGGTGCTCGAGCATGGAGGGTGGAAGCTGCAAGCCGAGGTGGGGCTCGAGATGGCCAAGGCATATTTTGTCTTGCAAGAGTACGACAAGTGTCTGGTGGTGTTGGAGCCAAGCAAAGTTGCCGCGGTGAACGCGGAGGACTTGCTTCTCGGTGTGGAAGTTGGGATGATGATTGCACGAGTCTACCACATGCGGCAGGATTGGGAAGCGCGGGACCGCGTCGCGGACGAGTGTCTGCGGTGGAACGAGTCGATGGAAGCGAGTCGGGAGAGGGAGGCCGCTGACGTTGTGTCGGTCCTGGAGGGTCCTCATGCCCTCCTCCGTGTTCTCAGTGATCGTGGCATGTGATTCCGACCTTGTTGACTTTTCAGATCCAGCTAGCCAATCAAAACAAGGCAAGAATTATTTACCAGAACTTATTACTACAATAAGAAACCTTAAATAGGATACATTTTGTTACTGTGAGGTACAATAACGGAATTTATTTTAACAATTTTACATTCGGCGTAGGATAAATCGCTCTACTATAAAGTACATTTTGTTATAATTGAGTTTTAACGAAACTCAGATAAGGTACATTTTGTTGGAGGGCTTGATTACACTGTAACGACATTGCCATCCCATCATGAGCATTGGCGACAGCACAGTCGATGGAGTTATTCGCTTGAGCCTGCAGAGAGAGGTACATTATCCCACCCGTCGATGGCTGAGCGGGACGAACACGACTGGGAGTCGGACCATCGCATCTGACAAGGTCTCCCTTGGGGTCGGCATCGGGTACGTTGTTTCTTGATCACTGTGGAGTATGAATGGTGTTGCTGCTGTGGTAGGACACATTATGCCGAGATCTACTTGGGTCTACCGCCGCAGAGAGCTTCCGTCATCGTGGATACGGGGAGTCACATGACTGCGCTTCCATGTTCATCGTACGTCGTCGTGGATCGTCGCTGTGTCATCACACATGTCGTTCCTGCAGGTGTGTCGACTGCGGGGAACATACCGACCCCCCGTACGACGTGAGCAAGTCTACGACGGCCAACTACCTCACATGTGCCGAGTACGGTCACTGCTACTCGTGCGAGTCGAACAACCACTGCCGCATGACCCAGAGCTACGCCGAAGGAAGCATGTGGAGTGCGTTGATGGTGAGCGAGTTGTGCTGGGTAGGACCCCTTCCATCTACCAACGACGACAACGCCCCAGACGAACCCGATCCGTCCATGCTGTTGTCCAAGTTTGGCGTCCGGTTTCCCATCGGATGCCAGACCAAAGAAACGGGTCTATTTCTCACGCAAAAGGAGAATGGAATCATGGGCATGTCCCAAGACCCCAACACAATCGTCCCGTTCCTAGTCAAAAGCGGCGTGTTAAGAGCCAATTTGTTTTCCTTGTGCTTTGCCGACACTGGCGGTACCATGGTGCTTGGTGGCATCGACCCAACGCTGCATATAGCACCCCCCATGTACACGCCGCTGTTGACCACAAGGTAGGACCTTGCCATTCAAAACAACCGTTAACGGCAACACAGTGGCTGGTTTACCGTGGAAGTGCTCGACATTTTGATTGGCAACGTCTCGCTCAACATTGCGCCGTCGTGGTACAACAGGTATGCAAACCACCAGTTTCAAGTGTCCTCGTAAATCAAATCGAACGTTAACGGCTTGTAGCGGTCGAGGTGTGATTGTAGACAGCGGGTCCACCGACTCGTACTTTCCATCGAGCGTCGGGTCTTCGTTTGCGTCTTTGTATCGGACAATTGCCAATGGCCACTCATACAGAGAAGACGACGCGGTGCTGCTAAGTCCATCTGACCAGCGAAAGCTCCCGAATATCCAATTTGTTTTACGGGGGACGACGCCAGGGTCGTCGGTGGTGTTGTCGATCCCGCCCTTGCAGTACTACACGGCCAACGCAGACGGTTCCGTGGCCAACAACATTCACTTTACCCAGTCCAGTGGCGGAGGTAACCAGTCAGTGTATACGTGGGTGGTCGTTAAGGGCTGTTTTGTTTGTTTATGTCAGTGTTGGGGGCGAGCACGATGGCCAACTTTGACGTGATCTTCGACATGGACCAGCACCGCGTGGGGTTTGCGCCGGCGCGATGCGACGAAACCCACGGACACGGTACGAATGATGGTCATGTTGTACGCGCCATAGTGAATGCAAGATGCATGAGAGTACGACGAACCTGAATGATGGTCTGTGTCTTGTGTTGAACGAAATGTACTCTCTGTGAATCTGTCAGAGGATACAACGTTGAATACACCTACCTGCAATTTGATTGGTCAAAAGTTTTTTATTCGAAACATTCATATATTGGCTACTTCGGTCGATTTTGATCTTTGTCGATTGACAGCCTCAGTCCATATTGAAATATCGAATACTATTATACTTCTAGGGGACTTTGCCCCGAATGTGTCGAAGGGCCAATGGACGGATAAGTCATTTTGGGAGGTATATGGGACGCTGGTCACGGCTGTGCTCGTGTGTTCGGGTGGAGGGCTGGCGGTGCTGCTTCTCGTGCGGGTACTGGGCCGTCGGCAGCAGCACTGGACCCAAGTGGCCCTGGAAGAGAGCGGTACCCCCCCCGCGCCTCCGACGAACGAGGTAATAATGAACACATAGTTATTAAATCATGATGACGAAAATAATGTGTGAACGGACGTAGGACGGCGACCTGCATACCCCCGTGTCCCCAAAGAGGTCGCCTCGATCACAGGATGATTCCATTGGCATCCATGTGATGTAGATGAAAGCTAACATACTGTACACAAACTATTACTGGTGCATTGAGTACCTACATGGAGTACACCTTTTTGCGGTGAATTTCATCTGTTTTTCACTACCTAGTACTACTGGTAAGTTATCACGGAAACGGCCAATTATTGCCCTCATTTTGACGCCTTATGTTTTTGGCCATATCTCATGACAAAATGAAATTTTGAATTTTTTTAAAGTTATACCGTTGTAGACGAGAGTATATGAAAACTCAAATTGATCGGAATTTGGAGTATTTTTAGCGAAGCTATGTTCCAACAAACGCAAAAGTTTTGAAATTTGCCGAGCCGGTGGTTGTTTGCCCCTTTTAGATTTGATTTCAGTATGCAAGTAGTAATACCCAAAACCTTAAGGCGTGGTCTCCGAAAAATAAAATCGTTCCTGGTTGACTGTGAAATCCAAGCCTCTGATTGGTTCAAACTCATTTTTCCGGATAACTATGTGTTCACGCTTTCCGGTATAACTCAGGCAGGGACGTGGTTTCCTGCCTGATGCATATTTTCGTCAAAAATCAAAACTTGGTTTTTGATATTTTTGATATTCCTTAAATTTTCGTACGGATAACGTCATTGCTTCATGGATGGCAAATTATTCGGTGTTTCCTTGCAGTGGTCACCGAGTTCAAAGTGCTGTGGCGCCGGTGCGTCCGCCAGACTGGACCAAGCAAACCGCAGCCCACGGAACGTGCCCCCTTCTATGTACGTTATGAGCTGCTGGTCCAGTGACAGAGCATTGCTAAGCAAATTATAGTGAAAAAAAGCTGAAATTAACCGCAAAATGGTGTAACTTATTACTACACTACAGGAGCAGTATTAATAAGTTAGTAGTACTATGTATAATATACCGGTAGTAGTATGTACAGTACAGTGTAACTATTAATATTAATATACGAAGAATGATCGATTATTTATACTGTAACTGTAAAGCTCACAGCAGTGTACAGTACGTTAATACTGTACATTCCAGTATTGTCAAGTCGGTTCGTAATTGAAGCCACCGGATATTTTCAACAATTGTATGGTAGGAGAAAGTGCGACAGTATTGTATTATGAATATTTGCTATAACAAATGCCGAGGCATTTGATTGGATAATATCCACTTCGGCCTTTCCACGTAGAATATCGAAATGGATAGTAGCCAATAAAAGACAAGTAATTTCTGGGTCCGGAAATTCGTACCGAATCTCCATACATTCGGTACAAATTTCCAGATCGAATGTCGTCGCCCCATCGAATCACAAATCGACGCTATTGGCTAATCCAAAATTGAGTGGATTTGATTGGCTCTTACAGAATCGACAAGTATATTCAATCAACCAGAAGTCCATCCTGATTCAAAATGGAATCAGTCAAACCACCATATGGAGCAAACTCACAATATGATTTTAGCCAATCCAATGCCAATAATCGAAATATCCATAGAAAATCCTTCGATTGACCTTCAAAGATAATAACCCACCAATCAAAGAGCCCATTTATCCGGATGAGTGAAGTACCTGCAAATTGCAGGCTGCAATGACTATCACTCTGCCACTGCCCACATGACCGACACGTTGGCAAGTGCGCCTGCAACGCGGCATCCCGCGTGGATAGCGACAGCCATTGCGGCCCTCATGTGCCTGGGCATTCTGGGTCTCAACTTTGAGAGCGACTTCGTCGTCAAGTCGAGCTCCCTCGCACACAAGCAGCAGCTCCACGCCGCTGCAATGAACCACACTGTCATTGTTGCAACGAACCACACTGTCTATGTGGACCGCGTCATCGAGAAGGTCGTGCTGAAGAAGACCTTGGTGAATGCCGTGGATCACAACATCGCGTACGTGAGCCACAACTACGACAACACGACCGTGCATATTGTGTACAGCACAAGCTGCGACCAGCCCAACCGGCACTTTTTGAGCGCGGCGTTGCAGGTCTCCGCATCCAAGGTCGGGCAGCGCGGTCCCATAACAGAGATCATATCTGGGTGCAGCGATGAGGAAGTCCAGCGCTTCGCGAGCGAACCTTCGTTCTACCACGACTACCACCGCCACTTCACGCCTTCGTACAGTCCCCACCCGAAGTCCGGCATCACCGACGACTACTCTCCGTACAACAAGCCGTTTGCATTGCGCCATCTCCTCCACACCCCGCCTTCGTCGTCCAACCCCGCGGCCGTCAAGGGCAACATGCCCGTAGCGCTCATGGACGCCGACTTCATCTTCTTCCAGCCGCTCCGGGTCAACACTGGCGCGGACTTGTCCTCTTTCTACCACGGCGAGCAGCGCCAGGGCGAAGAAATCCAAGACGTTGTGGCCGACGGACACGCATTGGCTCAAGACTGGACGTCATACTACGGCGCGGGATGGTTCAACCCGGACAATGAGGACAAGAAGGCCGCGATATGTGCTGGCAAGCCGTGCATGGACGTGACCTCGGACGACGGCCGCGAGTACTACGCCGGTGGAGGGCCGCCGTACATCCTGACCAAGAACGACTGGCTCAAGATGATTGACAGCTACGGCGACTTTGTCATAGCCGGGCGGAAACTGTCCAAAAACTGGATGGTCGAGATGTACGCATATGGATTAGCAGCTGGCAACCACCACATCAAGCACACGCTCGTGACCCACCTTGGCCCTACGTGGCCCCAATCCGAAGTACACTCGTGGACGTTTCTCGACGACGATGCACCCAATCCATGCGACGTCGCGTCCTTGGACGTGGTGCTGCCACGTCATCCGCCCATCTCGGTGCATTACTGCCAAAAGTACGGATACTTCGACAAAGAAGACGCCGGGTTCCACTTTTACAAGTACCACATCCCGTACGACATATTAGAGTGCGACGCAATGCTGCTCCAACTGCCGCCGCCGTGGCAGTGGACGGACATCCCATCGCTTGGGTTGGAAGGGATCGACTTAGTAGCCAAGAGGCACGAGGTGTGGACAGAATGCACACTAGCCAAGATCCTCAACCAAGTGTTTCTAACTGCCAAGGAAAAGCTCTGCCCTCTTGGGTTCAATACGCACCAAGGACTGCCCATGAGCGAACCCCACCAACGAGATTCGGCGCTTCCTGGAGGCGCGCCCAAAGAATTTTGAAGGGTGGAATCAAGTACTACTAGTAGTACAGTAAGTAGTACAAATCAATTCTGGTATATGTAGTACAATATATATAGTATATGTAATAAAGGTGTACAGTGATTGCCTGTAAAAGGGGGAAAGTGTAGCACTTGCAATTAACAAAATATTTGTCAAAACAAGGGATGTAGGACGAGCAGTTCATTGGCCAAAAAGAAACACATTTTTATCCGGAGTAAACCGGAATCATCGCAGGCTTCAAAAATAAAAAGATCTGATTGGTCTGTTTCAAAATTGAATTTCAAAAGTCGACGACGGCTTCAACGCCCAAATCGCTGGCAAGCCCATGAAGCAACAGCGACGCTACACAAATGTGTACTGCCAATTCTGGTACGTGTATAAGGATAGGATAAGGTGTAATTAAGTACCACAGTAGTAGTACTACTACTATTAATACTACCAAGTACTACGTAGTACTGTACCATACTCCTCAATTCTGGTACGGGTAATTAACTGTAAGTTCAACGACTGTACTCTATTCCATTCATTTCATATCTTTTTATCTTCTCAATTCTGGTACGGGTAATTAAGTGTAAGTTCAACGACTGTACTCTATTCCATTCATTTCATATCTTTTTATCTTATTTTTGTATTGACGGTAATTTAAATTGTACTACTACCGTGTACTATTCATATTAATACTACGTACAGGGAATGACGTATTAAGCGCCCCCGTGGTACTTCGAATTGGCATTTCAATTGTGTATTGGGACAAACTACTTCGAAATTTCAATACTTTAATAAATACGAAATTTTAGTACCACGGGGGCGTTTAATACGTCATTCCCTGTAGTAGTAAGCTTAGCGTACCTCGTACAGTACTGTAATACAGTACTCCGGAGTAGTATATATATTTGGCCAGGTACAGTAATACTCCGGAGTACTACGTACTACCCATAATAGTAGTTGTAATCTAGTATTGCATGACCTCCGTCGCACAGCAAATACCTCCTATATTCTATATCCCCCCCATTTTATGGATACCCGTATTTAGAGGTTGCACTCACTGTACTGTACAGAAATCAAAAATGGACAGCGCTGCAACAACCGCGACGCGACCCAAGTGGCCGTCCCGTGTCCTAGTATGGACGCACAGCGGAAGTTCGACTGTTCAAGTACAAGACAGTAAGCTCTGTTAACAACATAAGAGCCTTAGATAAACCCAGCCCCTTAGGGGCGAACATTCCCGTGCACGCTTTATGAAGTATGGACGCAAATACGACTCCTGATTGGCTAAAACGTGAATATATAACACAACCTCTGACAGTGAAGCAGGGATGATTCATCCCTGGCCGTTCCTTACGTTTTCGATATATTTTTTTTAAATTAAGCAATATTTTTGATATATTTTCAAAATCCTCGAAAATAGTTATGATAACATCCCTGCCTTAAAGCTTGGACGGTTTTTCACAGCCCAGCCCCTAATTATACGTATAGCACGTGCTCGCATGCTTTTATCGACCGATCATTATGAATATTGCATTGAACATAATTAGTGAACGGGGAAATTTAAGCTTATTGGAATATGATTGGAGGACTTACTACAAAGTTCGATGAATATTGTGACCATTGATGTTGTTTTGACCAATGAATTTTGTTTATGTGTGTATGTCTGCATGGTGATTGGCTTTAATATATCATGAGTAATGGGTAACTTCTTTAAATTTCCCCGTTCACTAACTTATTATATTAATACTACGAACGTTAGTACTGTATTAATATTTGTCCAAATAATTGTAGAAAATTCTCAAATTTTGATCCGAGGTGGAATGAGAGGGTGGGTGTGAATGATGTCATTCCACCCTGTACCTTGGTAGGTGCATAGCCTGCGAAACATTGTTCATTGTATCATTTGATAATAGTATATCCAGCCTTAGTGGCGTTGGTCGGATAATTCAACCTGTAAGATTTGATAGGTGGAATGACGCTTTTTGCATCCTTCAACCTGTCAACGCGCCGCCATGTGGACGTCCGCGTCGGACCAAAGCCGGTTTGTGCACTTGGAGTGCAGCGCACCTCTCTTCCAAGACTCGTACAAGCGGTACTTCGACCCGCCTCCTTCCTGCATCTACAGCCGCTCACTCTTGACCTAGGAACAACAAGAGCTCCGGGAACAAGCACTTGAGGTGCTTTCCGCACTGCTGCAAGGCCCACAACGCGTCTGGGTACTGTGGAAGTACGTTGCAAGTGCTCACGGCGGTGGAGCATGCAGACATGATGCTCTTTGCCAAGTTCGACTTGGAACAAGCCGCGGACGACATTCAAGTCAGCAGTGTCGTGCACGTGTCGGAATTTGAAAAGTCCCCGTATCTCCGCGGCCGACGACTCCCCGACCCTTCGCCTGGTCATGTGTACGAGATCAATTCCAGGCGAAATTCGTGGCATTACGGCTGGGTTAGCTCTCGCTTTGTCAAGAGCACCGTAAAGCACCACCTCAAGGTAGTTAGTTGTTACCTGCATGTACAGTCGTTCACGAATGTGCTTTGTCGAGATAGGTCTACATATTGGTCCCAGTAGACACGAACGGCAACATGCTGTGCGTAGACGTGCTCATGTCCAAGAGCTTTTTCATTGAATCCACTCGCACAGGGACCAAGTTGCAGGCAAAGTTGCTAAAGCTAGCAGCAACGCAAGCAGCAACTCCACCCACAGCCCCGTCATCAAGCAAACCCATTCGGACACGGCCGCATCTGGTGCTAGAAGACCCCGCGACGCTGGACCCCCCGATGAATCGGATGTTCCCAAGGAAAAATCCCATATTGGACATGCAATCCTCCTTCCTGCCTCCCGCACCGCTTCGTAAGGATTCTTCCCCTTTGACGATCGACATCATGCCATCGTACCACGTCATGCCCTTGCCAACACAAGCAACGTCGTGTTCCCACTCGCCAACAACGATCCCATCAGTGCCGTTTCCATGGGTCCCCCCCCAATCTTGCTCTCTTTTTGGGCACCCCCCCGTAATCGACCAGCATGTCCTCGGGAACGATTCGTTCCTGGATAGCCTCATCAGCGGCATGCAAGAAGAGGACGGCGACGAAGATCTGTGGACGTCTCCGTTAACATGTTGACGTGTGAAACTGGCGTCGTGTTGGAGCAACTTGCTTAGCAACGCACTTGACTGATTCACATTTCCAACCTACAGTACCTACTTACAGGTTTTGACCATTTAGATTGTGCTTTGCAGTCAAATTGGCCTATTTTGGGGGATTGATAAAATCGCTAAATCGAGCAAAGGAGTATGATTGGCTACAAAGAAAAGGAGGTTGATTGGCTAAAAAGATTGCGATTGTAGTTGTATTAACAAGGTAAAAAGTATCATAACATGGAGTTTTCCACAACACATATTTAGATGCGACCAATAAGAAGAGAGAGAAAATGTTACATCTCTGATTCTGTCCGACTCGCTACTATTGTCCTCGTCGCTGTCGACTTCTAGGTGCTCCATGATGTACACTCGGGCAGGTTGTAGACCTGCCTGTCGGCCTTGTGAATGCAGCCCTTGATGCTGCTGCATGCCGCCACCTCAGCGAAAGCTTCCAGGGGGTTATGCATTTATCATGCTTGAAGTTCAATGTTTGCCTGTCCTTTTCAGTTATGTCACAAAGTGTAACATTTGGTATGAGGGTGAAATTTGCCAGGTTTTCAAAATTTGAAGAATGATATCTTAGGGTGTATTGTCGATTTGATGGTTACAAATATTTGGGGAGGGTGCAATCGAATCGACCAAACCGATCCACAATCGATCGGATTGGTTGTTGAATTTCATTGAGAAGATTTTGATTGGCTAATAAGTTTGAGCTAATCTGAGGTAGCCAATCAAATCGATTTAAATTCCAACGAGAAACCACGCCACCACACAATGAAAGTTCACTCGAAAGCACAATCATATGAGGTTTCAAATTGTTTCGAAGTACGCTTTTAGCGTCTTCGATACATTATGGCCAAACACACCCTCAATACTGTCGACCGTGTTACTCCCGAGTATACGCTATTTAACGTATGGACGCCAAATACGACTCCTGATTGGCTAAAACGTGATTTTTTCCGGATAACCTCAAAACCACACTAAGTTGATTGATTCATCCCTGCTGCTTTGGAGTGTGTCCGTTCCTGCTTTTGCACGTTTCGATAGAAATGAAGCAATATATTTTTTTGATATATTTGCAAAATCCTCGACAATAGTTCGGATAACATCCCTACTCTAAAGCTTGGATGGCTTTTCACAGACCAGCCCCTTAGGTTTATATGCAATTAATTTCCAAGGTCCGGTGATTGGTCGGCGGATCATTCAACCACCCGGAGAACAAATCACAATATCCTGGAAATATCATGCTCTTAAGCGTCCAAATCAAATGCGTCGCGGCACCGCTTGATGGAGCGCGGGGACATGACGTACCCCTCCGAGTCGAAGAACTCGTCGCCGTCGCTCTCGTCCTCCTCGTCGCCGCGGCGGCTGAGCGGCTCCTCGCCCAGGGGCACGCGTTCGTCGGGGTCGGACTGAATCTGAGACACAGGGGCCCAGTGGGGACTTTTCCCCGTCGAAGGCAATGATGATTTGTTGCGCCGTTTGTACCAAAAATGGTATGCGCTGCCGATAACCACCAACGCCAAACACATGGCCACGGCCGCGCTCAATAGGGAAAATTCCCCACTCATGTCGGTTTTCCCACGGAAGTTCGACGACGATGTCGCGCCCACTGTGTCGTTGACTAGGACTTTTCCTGTGGTGGACGTTGGATGGGAAGTTTCCTTGTGCGACGAGGCTGAAGTGGGACTGGGCGTTCGAGGTGTCGTAGGGATTGTGGGAATTGTCCCAACCGACTTAGTCGTCGTCGTAGTAGTACTACTACTACTAGTAGTAGTAGTGGTGGTAGTGGTGGGGGGCGGCGTCGGGGGTACCGAGGAAGGCGGCTGGGGCAGGCCCTCCAATTCCGCCTCCAGACCTCGGTACTCTAATAATAGTGATCAAATGGTACGAATTAATGCTAACGTTATGATAGATTTCCACATTTTATATCGATATTATTCGAGACTTACCGCACTGCGCCTTGGAAAACCCCACGCGCTTGGCATCCGGGTCAAACACAAACTCGTGGTGCATCATAAAGTTGGCCCCAAGTACTAGCACAATTATACAAAAGATCAACTCCATATCCTTATTCCGTCGATTTTAGACGTTATTCCGTCGATTTTAGACGTAATTCCGTTCATTTAGTCGTAATTCCATCCATTTTATGTACGATAGATTGATTATGTATATACCTCCACCGCCGCTCTTTTCTGTAAAGTACAACGACCCACAGCGCCGACCGTTGTCATCTGCGGGCAAGAGCTGGGTCGCAGGGATCGACAGCACCACCATTTGTCCAGTGGTCGCACCTATATATATATATATATTTCACATAAATGAGAATAATTTTATAATAAAATTAAAATAATTATATATGGATTATAAATATATATATTAATATATACTATTATAAATATTTTTAAATAAATATAGATATTAATACATACTGTATTTTAAAAAATAACCCGAACTATATATATATATAAAAATATACCTAGCATCGTTATGTCAAAGGCAGGCATGGCCTGGACAACGTCGTCCGGGTACGTCGTGTCGTCGCATCCGCCGCCTTCCGCCGCGTACTTGTGCCCGGTGGTCTTGAAGAACAGGTCGTTCCACGCGTCGGCGTACGCGGACGGCAGGTACGAGTCGGTGGTGCCGCTGTCGACAATCACATTCCGACCCGCCCCCATGAACGATGCATCGATGGGGAGGTTGGTACCCCCAAATGTCAACGCGATCACCGTGACCCCATACCATCTGCTTATAGCGATCAAAAAATGACAAAAGGGGGTCGGACACGTACCCGTTGTGGGAAGACGTGACGGCCGCGTACTGAACGTCGGTCGAATGGTGCGCCGTGGAGAGGGTGCCGATGGCCATGGTCCCGCCTTGAGGTGCAAAGCACAAAGCAAATGCACTCGTGTCTACCTTGTGCTCGGCGTGGAGTTTGCGAATCAAGTTGTTTTCTGTAAATATAGGTATATATTATATTCTGTAAATATGTATTAATATATACAAATATTGGAAAAAACAATCGTCCAAGTTAGTTGGCAAGCATGGCACATATGTCTCAAGATGCAACCATTTACATGCAAATGACGACTATGCAGTTGATTTTATAAATGCCCATCACAAATATATTGAAGTCATACTAGATAAGTTGAATTTTCATATATATATATATATAGTTTTTTATTGCCTTTGTCAAATAAATAAAAAATCATTTACCTGTATTGGCGACCCCCATGATGCCATCCGCGACTTGGGAGATAAACAGTCCTAGAACGATATGATCGTTTAAATGAATTCAATTGTAAAAATAAATGAAATATCACGATGAAGTATTTCCGATAGAATATTATCTCCATATATATATATATATATATATATATATATATGTAACCTGTTTCGCGTTTCTGGCAGCCAAACATGTATCGCGTGCCGAAGGATTCGTTGAAGCGGCGACTGGGGTGGTCCACGGCATCTCCGAGCCAGACGTTGTCCTCCACGACCACGGCATTCCAGCTGCTTCCTTCCGTGTACGACTGAACAAGCATGAGACAACGTACATATGAGGATGATCGGGAGTTCTCACTTGGGAGATGTGACACTGGTCGTCGAGGCCGCACACGCCGCATGTGAACGAGCCCAGATGACTCGCGCACGACGGATACGTGAGCGACGACGACTTGGTCGTGTCGAACGGCGCGTCCGTGTGTGTGCCGCATCCGTCGCATCTAATGCACGAGTTAGGTACAACCACGTTACATGAAGGGTGTGCATACCCATTGCACGGAAATGCCATGAGGTGGCTTCCCGTGTCCACGATCACGGACGCGCGCTGCGGAGGTGAGCCAGCATACACCCATGTGTAGTGGGTCCTACGCACACATATCCGTCACAAGTGCACGAATGCGAAGGAATAGAGATGCGTACCCGAGTCCAAGGTTGAGCGGCACGGGTTCAAAGTTGCCGTCGGTTAGTCGGCGAAGGCGCTTGTTCGTGGCAAGGTCCCGTTTGACCTGGCCGTGGTTGGTTCGATGGAGCTCCATGCGATGGCTAGAAGCGACTCCCATGTACATGAGAGTGACAACGGCAGCGACGGCGGGACGAAGTGGCGACGACACCATCATAAAGCGCAGTGCGTTACGTGTCGTCAAGGAAGATGGCGATGAATCCTGATTAGGATATGACAGGACGATAAAACCAGGATGGCACTGAAACCTACCTAATTAGGCTTTGGTACACTATTTGAATTCACACTAAAATCTGAGGGTCACACTAAATACAGGTGAGCCTTTGGTGCACCCATTTTGTCCGGATAATTCAAGAACGTTCGTCATGTAATCAGCGCAACTTCAAGTTGGATGTTTGGACTGCGTTTATCGTGGCCACATGAAGGCGCTCTGCCGCATGTCGACGTAGGGGCAATCGATCCAGTTGGCGCGCGTGGGACAAAACAAGACGAAGGTGTGGTGGTATAGTATACTAACTTCCTACTTCGAAGTATCAATAGTAGGATCCAATCGTGGCAAGTGGTGGTCGATACACTCTGACCGGAAAATAGTGTTTGACCCTGGACTAAAAATCCCTAAACGCTAAATACAAGGTCATGCCAACGACAATCGATGCCCTTGTAACCTGGAACGATGTACACTGTTTGAACGCATTACGCACGTTGACAACCAACAATGCCGACGTTGTGGCCGCTAATTTACATACAGGCTAGGTGTATGTTAACAGTAAATACAAGCAATCGATGGCTGGTTTGTTTAGGGTATTTCGTGGGTATCCGGATAATTCACTAGTTTTGATCGAACCCCGACTTAGATGGTTTCTGTCTCACTTTCCAATTTGCCATCCTCATGCAAGCCAAACGTACGTTCGCTCCCAACCCGCGCTACCCCGACGAGTTCCTTCGCAAGATCCCCAAGACGGATCTCCATTGCCACTTGGATGGATGCGTTCGTCCTGCGACCTTGATTGAACTGGCGCAGGAACAAGGTGTCGAGCTCCCGACGTACGACGTACCCCAATTGTCCACGTGCCTCTTCAAGGAAACGTACGCCAACTTGGAAGAGTACTTGCGCTGCTTTGCCTACACGTGTGCCGTCCTGCGTGACCCTGCTGCGTTAGAACGCGTGGCGTACGAACAGGCCGTCGATCAGTATGCCGTAGGAGTGCGCTACTTCGAAACGCGATTCGCGCCGCAACTCCTGGCGATCCCTGGCAAGCTCTCGGTTGAGGACATCCTTGTCCACGTGAACAACGGCCTTAAGCGCGCGACGGACGAAGCGAACGCCGCGGACGACGTCCAGAGTGGTGCCGCCCCTGTCCACGGGTACGGCATCATCGTGTGTGCGATGCGCTTCTTCATGCCCAACTTTGGTCCGTACTACGAGCAGTTCTGCCACGTGCATCGGTACGAAGACAACCATCGGTTGTACGGGTTGGCGTCCATGGCTCTGATCACCCAAGCGCATGCGGCGAAGGAAGCATTCGGCCTGCCCATCGTCGCGCTGGACATTGCCGGCGCCGAAAACGGCTTCCCCGCGTCAGATCACGTGGAAGCGTTTGCGTTTGCACACAAAAAGTTCATGCATAAGACGGTGCACGCCGGCGAAGGGTACGGCCCCGAGAGCATCTTCTCCGCCATCACGGACCTCCATGCCGACCGCATCGGCCACGGGTACCATCTCTTCCACGCCAACCAAGTGCGCAAGGACATGACGGACGACCAAAAGCAGTCGTACGTCGATGGACTGGCGCAGTACGTGGCCGACCAGCGCACATGTCTCGAAGTGTGCGTGTCGTCGAACCTCCAGACCGTGCCTGAGATTGAAAACGATGCATCTCGACACCCATTGACCGAAATGCTCAATGGGAAGCTCGCCGTGTCGCTGTGCACGGACAACTGCACCGTAAGCAAGACGGACATGTTCAAGGAGGTGCGCCTCGCGGTCGACGCGCTGGACCTGTCGCCGTCCGAGCTGCGCCGCGTGATCCTCACGGGGTTCAAGCGGTCGTTCATGCCGCTGCCGTACAAGCAGAAGCGCGCATACACTCACGGCGTGATTGACTATTACGACAACCTGTGCCGCGAATACAACATTCAAGACTAATTGTAATCTCCTTGTACGAGTATAAAATAGAAAATATAACGACCAAATTATGCATACTAGTACTGATATAACATTTCAAAGACCAAACAGGTCTACCAATCAAACGCCGAACAGGTAGAAAACCTTTGTAAATAAATATCCTCTTCATTTCTATCGGGAAAGGAAAGATACGATCTCCAAGTTTCGGAGGTTGAAAAAGTTGCCTGCGAGGTGTATTTTAAATTGATTTTTACGTTACCACACATATATATATATTATATATATATATATATTACGACGTCGACGACGCTGTACCGACGGGCAATTTGCGCAGCTTGTTGCGTTTAAAATCCGCGCCCAGAAGAGACGTGTACGTGCATCGCTCGTCCTTTTCCACGAGACCGTCGCGGTACACCAAGTCAAAGCCCCCCACGCGATCTTCCTTCGTTTTGAGTCTAATATCCCATATTTATTATATCCATGTGTAGCGAATATATATCCCTTGTTTTTAGAGTATTAATAACTATATAAATACCGTACTTGGTTTCCAAGTCGATGATGTCGAGCATGTCGTTGAGCATCCCACACTTGAGCTGGTAGTCTTGGGGGGTGTTGGCCGACAACTAGAAAAGTATTGGGCAGTGTGAAAATAATATTACTTCGGAGTGAAAATAAAATAATATTCCACTTCGTGGGAAACAATAATAATTCCATTGGAGCGACATAATTCTTATTCAAGTCGAGTGAAATAATATTATCAATTCGACAGATCAACGGAAATATTATATATATATATATATTCTTTACCGACGGCGACGCGTTCACTTCGAGCAGCCACGGCTTGAGGTTTTCGTCAATCATAATGTCGTACCCGTACAATTCAAAGCAGTGTTTGTCGCTGATGAGAATTTTCTCGACACTATATATATCAATATCGCACCCCCGTGTCATTTCTAGTACCACTACTACTAGTAATACTAGTACTACCTTTGAAGGGACCGGATGATGACCATTTGAATCTGGTAAAAGAGGCGGTCGACGCGGGCGACTCCGTGGTGGGACATCATGTACAGCTTGAGGCTCTTGAGGTCCCACTTGCCGCCGTGCTTTTTGTCGTACTTGTCAGACGTCTTTTGAATCGCGACGTTGGTGAGGTGGATAAACGAGTTTTCGATGTCGCTGGCGTTGTTCGAGTACCGCGAGTTGGTAAAGCGGGCAAACCCGCTCCGGTACAAGTACATCTCGAGGGGCGCGAACGATGTGACGAGGGCATACAAGCGCAGGTCAAACTACCAGATACAATGTGTGGATGTCAAGTCGACGTTCGACGTACCACCATATATACATATTGTGAATTCGCTATATATTTCCGAAATTCGCGAATCAAATATCACTGGAAGTTTTGATTGGTTGAATATATTTTGTAAGAGCCAATCAAATCCGCACAAAATTGGACGAGCCAATAGCGTAGCCAATCTTCGATCCAGTTTCAACACATATAATTAGTGTGTGACTTCAATTAATGTGACCATGTTTACATCCACAAAAAAATCCGTAACAAACATATCGATAGAGTTGGGAAAGAATCAGCACAAAAGTCCACCAAATGTCGGGTAAAAGGACAATAGTAATACTACTAGGAACGATATATGATGGAGGTACAGTAAGTATGCTCTTGATGGAGTATTTACTAGTACTAGTACTAGTACTACCTTTTTGCCGCCCACGAGGTACGGGTTGGAAATGTACTTTTGAACGACATATGTCTCGACTTGCTGGTTCTCGGGCTGTTTGTACCGGTAGTCGGTGCGCCAGTCGCTGATCTGACTCAGTTTCGTGAAGAGGAAGATGCCTTTGCCTTGGGCCCTGATGTGGTTCTTACATGAACCAACAAAGATGGTTGAACATAGGTGTGTGCCGTACGTACTTGCCAATCGGCTTCATGATCCAGATGCCTTGGTTGCGCTTGAATTCCTGAGATGGTTACTGCTTTACGCAACGAACAAGCTTATCGCGTCGATATACCTCGACAAACATGGAGTACTCCCCTGGCAAGATGTACGTGATGGGGAAGAAGTCGTACGGAAACTCTTCGTTCCTGGTTAACGTCGTCAAGGACAAAGAGATGGAAGAAGGTTACTTTTTCTGCGCCCGTCGAGCCCGCTTGAGGTTCTTGATGAGCAGGTCCTTGCGGCACAGTTCTCGGCCGTTGCGGAAGTGGTTCACCTTTTGAGATACGTCTAAATGGACGCTGTCAAGCACGTCGTAGATGAACTCGCGGTCGGCCCAGTAAAAGTCCCAGTCCGTGTCGCTAGGTCATGTTTTCCCCGTAACAAGTCATTGTCATCAGGGTATGATCAGACGTACCTTTCCTTCCATCCCCGACGCAACATTGCATCAAAGATCGTGTTCCGAAACGTCGTTTTGAACCGAATGACGCCGCCCGAGTTGCCAGCCTTGGCCTTGGCGACCTTTTGCGCATCCGCGATGCGCGCTTGGCGGACTCTTTGCGCCGCTTCCGCCTTGTTCTGCTTCTCCTTTTCTTTGTCGTTCATGAAGCGCCGCCTGTCTGGCGTGAAGATGCAGAAACGGACAACATACCAATGGCGGTTTCATCTTTGAATTATCCGGATTCGTTATCCGGACGTCCCCGAACTTTCTAACTATGTCAACTTCTTCCTCTTCGCGCGTGCCGCCTTGAACGTTGGCGCGGGTGTTCGTGTGGACGTCCGTGTCTTGACAGGAGGAGGTTCGACGTAGGATTGGCAGGTAAGGGCTTGGAGGTGGGCATGTGCAGATGCTTGCAAGGTATCGAGGATGAGTGGGGCAGTCGTGGCGTGGTTGTCCTCTGGCGAGGTCCCAGGTTGAGACCCATCAGGTGAAGCTGCAACCGCACCGTCGGGTGAAGTATCGTCCTTGTCGTCGTGTTCAGTGCGCACACGACCGTATCCGCCTTCCAGCACCGAGACAAGGCGTCCGTTGCAACAGAGATTCGCCATGAGCATGAGCTGCGTGGTGACCCAGTGGAAGTCCCCTGGTGAAAGGTCCAATCCAACGGGGCCATCTCTCTGACCGTACTGTTTGTTGCCAATGTCATAGTGGCATCCGTCGAATCCTGCCGAGACGAGTATGAGGTCGGGTCCGAACGCCCGCAGCAGCGGAAGCACCACCTGCGTGACCTTCGCGCGAAAGGCGGCGCTGCCCTTGTCCTTGGCATGGGTCCACATGGGATGTATGGGGAAGTTATAAATGTTGCGTGCGTAGTCGTGGTCACCGCCACTGCCGGGGTAGAATCCTTCCGCGAACACATGGAGCGAGATGAAGAGCACATTCGGCCGTGGGTGCTGCGTCAAGATGTCCTGCGTGCCGTTGCCGTGATGGGCGTCAAAATCCACGATCGCCACCTTCTTCACATGGGGACACGTGTCCAACGCGTACTGGGCGCCGATCATCACGTTGTTCAAGATGCAGAACCCACACGAGATGGAGTCCTTGAGCAGTCCGCTCCATCCTTCTCCATCTTAGAACCTCGTCATCCTTCAGACTTGTGGACCAACGTACCTGCATGATGGCCGGGCGGCCGCACGACGCAAAATGCATTCCGATACTTCCCCATGGCCACAGCATGGACTGCATGGCAGACACTTCCGGCGGCCCTCAAGGCCGCCTTGAGTGTGCCGCGACTGAAGTTGGTATCGCAAATAGACTCGAGCTTGGCGGCGGCCACGGCCGTGCCTTGCACGTGCACTTGAAGCCGGGGCGTCAGCGCCATGCATCCGTCCGTGTGGGACTGCACCTACATACATGCACGATATCCTCAACGATGTGTATATATAACTAGGTGCAGGACAACGGGGGTGTACTTGGTGGTGCAGAGCTTTGAGTGTGTCCACGTACTTGGCGCTGTGGACGCGGCGCACAACCGATAGGGACACAAAGGCAAAGTCGGACGAGACGACCATCATTCCGGATGGGTGGAATGATGATGATGATACGTCGACGTGGATCGTCTCTAGGGTAGGGTTGGAATCAAAAGTGATATATATCACATCGAGTACGTACCCTGAGGGTGTTGGAGGATGGGATCGAGGATGGCGGCAAGTCGAAGGGGCGACTCCTGATGCGAGGCCGCCGTCATGTGCTCGTGGCAGTCTGGGTGATGCAGCACCAGCGTCTTGAGCTGCGGCCGCGAAGACATGAATGCCGCCCGCGCCGCCGTCCTCGACGCTTCGTACACCTATTCCATATCATCTTCATGTTGAGAACGAGAATGTATGTTCATCTATATATACTTGAAGTAATATATATATATAATATACTCGGAGTATATATAATATACTAGTAGTATCTATTTATTTATGGAGGATGTACGGTGGAGCCATCTGCAAACCCTGCTACATCCAGCGGAGTGTGCATGTCCAGAGTGAGCGCACAAGTCGACGCCCCATGGAGTAGCAGCAGCCTGCCATCAATCATCACATGCAGAATTGAGAGAAGGGTGAGATTTCGAGTCTACCGAATGCAATCAGCATGGCCAAAGCGAGAAGCGCGGTGCAGCGCCGTGTCCCCATTCGCCCCAGGAAGGTCCATGCAAGAGGATGGAGCCATCGCGAGGAGATGCTGGAGGACCGATGCGTTGCCCACGGCTGCACACCAGTGCAGAGCCGTAAACCCTTGGGAATCCGGGAGCGAAACACTCGCGCCATGATGCGTCAGCAGCTAATCACATGTAAAGTACCGTGTGGATATGACCGACAATGGACGTACCTGAGCTAGTCGCAGGCTGACGTCGAAGTGGGAGTCGGGGGCCATCGCTGCAAGAGTTAGCGCCGAGTACCCGTCTTCCACGGACACGAAGTTGACGGAATCGGACGAGGCGTGCGCGAGGAACACCGCCGCACGGTCGACGTCGAGGTGGCGGCAGGCGTGATGCAAGTCTAGTGCATATATCGAGTTTGGTGAAAGATTCGATACGATGTTGATGACCGCTGCACATGTCAACCTGTGGTCTCGACCACGCGTGTAGGGCTCGTGCTCTCGAGAGGTTTGCCACTGGGTGTGCGATTCAAGTCGGCTTCGAGGATGTCCTCTAGTTTGTCTGGGATCGGCAGCTCGGGGTTGCCCACTACTGCAAGAAATGGACTGAGGATGATGAAAGATGGATCGGCATGGCTGCGTACGATTCGTAAAGGACACGCGGCGCTTCATGGGCGGGACGGTGATACTAGTTGACGACGTTGTGCTCTTGGGTGTGCTGTTACGGGAAGTGTTGGCAGACGTCGTCAAGATGGACGTCAAGATTGGCCGCAGCCGCTTCTCTGAGGTCGCTTCCATGACCCCTGAGCTAAACAACCCCTTGAAAATACAACCTCTTATCTTGCGAAACGTATTATATACTGTAGCCAAGCTTAACCAATTTGGCCAATCGAAAACCAAGTGCTCATTTTTCAACTTTTAACCGACAAGAAGATCCGAGAGGGCCGCGGCCGTGAAGATGGACGAAGAAGGGACGGCACGACCAGCGCCGCCGCCGCCTCCGTTGCACGTTGACGTGGAATTGGAAACGCATGTGATTTCCGCCACATCTCCATCAACCTTGGCTGAAGTGGACCAGTCTGTCTTGGCTGAATTACCTCCAGAAATTCAAAACGAAGTGTTGGCATCATTGCGTGCAGACGTCTCGGCAGTCCCGCCCCGTGTCCAAGTACCTCCATCAGATGTGGAGCCATCTACATCGCCGTCGGATACTTGGGAGTGTCCAATGTGCACATTTCTCAATCACGCGGCGTTGGCCACGTGTGAAATGTGCGAGTTCTGCATCCTCGACGACGAAACCGACGACGACGACAGCATCCTTCCGGACTCGGAAGCGTTTCGTCACGCCGCCGCTTCGGCCAAAGCCAAGATCCTCTCGGTGCTTAAAGCCACGAACGTCAAGAACGATGAACTTTTGCATTCGGCGTCGGCCGCGTTGCACAAGGTACAGGCGTCGGCCTCGAAGCAACTGCAGCAACTTTCAGACAAACTCTCTCCCCGAGCAGCGTCCGCTAAAGTCCCGTCATTCACATCTTCTGCCGTGCCGTCGTCGGACGTGTCCTTGGAACTCGCGGCGCTCCGCACCGACTTGAAGTCTCCCGTACGTACCACCGTCCCACGTCTCCGTCCTATCTCACTCGTTCCTTTCAGTGCGTTCCAGGGGACGAAGTGTACGAGAGCATGCTGCATCACTTGTGGACCGCCTTGGCTGAAGTCACAGACGCCACGTCCTTCGAACGGGAAGGCGAAGGCTGGATGGCCATCGGGTTCCAGCGCATCAACCCGGACACGGACTTCCGCGGCGGCGGCCTCTTGGCGCTCAAGTGCTTGGTGTATGCATGCAACATGCATCCGGAGAAGATGCTGTTCCTGTTCAGAGACCAAAAGCCAGAGCCGGGCAAGCGGTGGTACCCCGTCAGTGTCGCAGGCATCAATCTCACGTGTTTATTGGCTGGCCTTCTCAAGGTACGTACATTCGTCCCAGTTGATATTTCAATGTATATATATAATAATATTTTCGGTGTTTTTTTATTTATTAGCTAGGAGACGGCTCGTTCATCTCGACCGAAGCCGCGTATTGGCCATTGTTCGACGAGCCCAATGCGTTTTTTGAAATGTATTACCTTGGTACAACAATTCTTATCATTCCCCTAAATATATATATATATATATATTCCAAAATATTTATCTTTTTTTTCTAGTGCTGTTGAAAATGGATCAAATCTGGCACCGCAGCCATGCCACGTACATGGAGTTTGGAGGTATTTCAGTATATATAAATATATACATAAATAAATAAATATATATACATAAATATATATAGTACTTAATGTCCGTTGTAGAAGTCCTGCGTGCCACCAAAACCCTAGTGAGATATGTGCTCAGCCGATCTCCGATGCATTCGCTGGCAGACTTTGCCTGTACTTTGGAGGCCATGAACGTCGATGAGTTCAAGATCACAAGACGCCAAGAGTACTTCCAAGATGAAGAAGACTTGGAGTGCCCCGACCCGCGCCATGTTCTCGACTGCGAAGACAAGCAAGATGATGCAAACAAGGGCGACATTGCGTCCCTTCGCTATACGCTTCACCAGTAACAGTCACATGTTAAACTTGAGGCATCCCGTCTCTTTGTGCTGGTTGCCGCAGCGAACACAGCAAAACTTGGAGCCGCATCGACCGCATGTGTACGAAGAAAGCAGTCCGCAGACGCAGCAAAAGTGCCGCGGAGGGGTCTTGGCGGGCTTGACGGCCGCCGTCACGTAGTTGATGTCGGTTGAGGACATACCGTCCCCACACTATAGCACGCATGTGAGGACGGAGGGATGTGTGAGTAAGATGAAGCCACCTCTTCGAAGATCAGCTGACGTAAGCTCTTCACCTTGCGCACCATGCGATGACGACCGAGTGCTTGCGGCACTTGATGCTTGTTGGCCTTGGCTTTACTCTTCGGCTTGGTGGGCTTCTTGGCATCGTCGTCGTCGTCCAGCACAAACATGTCTTCGTCTGCACCGTCCGTGGATTCCATGTAGTTGTCCGCTTCTAACGCGTCCAACCGCGCATTCCGGACCTGTCGCCTCGTTTCCTCGTCCACGTGCTTCATGGCTTTCGAGATCTTTACCGTCCGCCCTGCGTCCCATCACATGAGTATAGGCATGGTCCTTCGATTGCATGTACCAGAGAAGCGCTTCCTCGATACCTTGGCACTTCCGGGGACCGCCAGACCGCTCGACGCCATGGTTTGGTCCCATTGCCGCTTTGCATTCTTTGCCGACATGATGGAAATTGGAAAATGCAAATGTGAACTAGCATTTTAGCCAATGAATGGCAAGTATGAAAATGAAGACCAATCAAAACGAAGTACGAAGTACTCTAGATACCCTATATTAATCCGAGTCATATTATTATTTTTTGGAGCATTGTTCTATTAACGTTATTATTCACATATTGATTCGATTTTAAAATTTCTCACAATTCAATACTAGTACTAAGTTACTACGTAGTAATATTGATAAATGTCAAATTCAAATGTGAAAATACATTTTAGCCAATGAATGGCAAGTACAACAATGTAGACCAATCCAAACGAAGTACTCTAGATACCCTAAATTGATTGGCTAATATGATTTTATAGTTTGACTACATGTGGTGACGCTTTCACCATCTTGTGTCATCGCCCTTCCGCTTGCAGACACGACGCCAGCTCGTGGTGCAACCGTGCAGCGATGAGACCTTCCTTCGTCGGCATCACCGACAGCTCCGCCAGGAGCGCTTCCATGTGCCGTGAGATGCGCGCATCAACGTGCTGCAGATGCGACTCGTCTCGAAGCATGCAAGAAATCCACGGAAAGATGAGTGCCGCGTCGTCGACGTTCTCAAGGAAATCGAGGAACGCTGCGCAGAGGGCGTTGAGTGTGGTTTCGCGAAAGTACTGCACGGATGGCTGGGAGAAGCACAGCCATCGTCGGAGCAACGTCTTGTCCTCGGAGAGCAACGAAATGCGCAACGCGAGTTCCATGTTGCCTTCCTCCATCGCCACCTTGACGTTTTCGGCGAAATCGGCGCTGTCCATGCTTGGAACGTCGCCTTGGTTGGTGTCTGGGATGACGCATGACACAGGTTTGGGACTTCGAAGGGACACCCGGTCGTCTCGCAGGGTCTGCTTGAGGGAGGCATGCTGCACCACCACTTTCTTCCGCTTCGGACTCACGGATTCACTCGCCGGTGGCACGATGGCCGGCCGCGGGTGTGCAGCGGCATACACGTCTGCCGTCGACTTGTCAGGGACGGCATCTTTGGTCCCATGTTCATCATACGCGTTCAGAAGGACAAGCAACGCCGCGGCACTGTCTCGAACTGGGGACGCCTAATGGGAAAATGAGTTTGTGGGTGAAAATGGAAAAGTAGAACAGATACTTGCATTGTTCAATAATGGAATAGATGATAAATAGATAATTCGTTTTTAAATAACGAAATAGATAAGAAATCAACTGCAACGTACGAAATCTCCTCGACCCCGTTCCGCCATTTGTTCCAGGGTCGTCTGTTGCACAAGCACGATGAGAAGGTCTAGAAGATGGACGGAATGGGGTATGGTCGCACCATTTGTTGAGAGATTTGAGGGTCGTGGGGAAAGCACTGCAGACATGCGATGAGGAGGTCGATGCCGCGCTTCCGGTTGACCCAGTCGTCTCGCTGTGCGAACTGCATGACCCCTTCAACCGCCAAGAGCATGTCCAGAAAGGCCTTTGCGCACAAAGCTTGCATGTCGTGGTGGGAATCCTACCAAACAGCATGTGAATATAGACGACGAGGACGAACGAGACCTTGGCGAGACGAAGAATCTCCGTGAGGATGTAAAAGATGGGCGAGTACGTGGCGTACACGGCGCTGTGGAAGCGAGAGACGAGGTGCGGCACAAACGTAACAAGATATGGGTGTATTCGTGTGGCATGATCCAAGAGCGAATTGGTCGTGTGGGGATGCAGCATCGCGCCAATGCACTTTGCGGCGCCGTCGCTCATCACGTTGGTTTCGTTGAGGAAAGGCCGGACGAGGACGTCGATGCTGATGATCTGCGGAAGGGACGGAAGCACGTAAAGAGAGATGGCGGCCGTTGCCTTCATGCATGCGTCGGTCACCTTGTGGCGCTTGTCTCGTAACCGGTAGTTCAAATATGCCACCATCTTCTTAAGGAAGCGTGCCGACGCCACGGGATGTTCCTTGCATAGTGCCGCCATGAGCAGCACGATGTCTTCACGTGTGGATGACCGTGCCGGGTCCTTGTTGCGCTCCAGTCGTGAGTACATCTCGTATGCTTGAGCAGATGTGAGTTTGGGCATGATTTGTCTAGAAGTCGTCGGTGCATATCGTTTGTTAGTTGGCCATAGCGATAGAGCCAACGTACATCAGCTGGACGAACGCATGCTGCTCTGTATCTCGCTCCTCGAGCTTTCCCACCCAGTCGTTGATCTCCGTGAGACGGAGTTGATGCTGCTTCCGTCGAGCCTCCATCTTGCTGGTGTTCCAAAAGTGTTGAAGAATGGATCTACAGGCCAAAATTCGGTATCCGGAATGATTAGTGCGGGTCCTCATCCGGATACCTCATTTCAAGTTGAAGTGCTCACAATCATGGCATTCGAAATGGTAGTGAACTTAACCACATCATCTTACTCACGCGTCTATCCGCTTGGATGCTACGGCCATCCTTCCTGACCACATACACATCAACCTAGCTCCTCCAGAGCCAACGACCTGCGAGGATAAGAGCCATTTCACACCATTATTGCCAACACTCATGTCGTAACCGCTGCCCGCCTCCATTATAGCTCCACTCCCTAACATCCTCCATATCAATCAGTTCATGCAACTTCTTCCTTGGTCTAGTCAAGCAAATTTGTTTGTATATAGCACAGATACTTGATAGGCACAACGGTGTACAGTACTGTACATACGTTCGGTACTGTAGTTAGTGTACAGTAATTACGTGGAGAATTCCAGTACTTACTGTATGGTGGTCGTATATGTAATGTTGGAGGTTGCGAGCACAAGATATGCATGTGGCGAGGGTTTTGATCGGTTTGGGGGTTTCATAAAAATAGATTTTGATCCAGGTCAAGCATGTTCCAACGGCAAAACCCCTCCAAAAATAACCATCGCAAACTTCTGGGACACATTCTTGGTGCTGCCGGAGACAGCAACGAAGGGCAGACAGGTGGCACGCATATAGTAACCATGCAACGACTCCTAGGCATTTCCATCAACATGCTACGGTATGCCATCTTACAGAAACCTTGCAGTGGTCTCACCAGCTGCACGTAGAGGCAGCGCAACCGATGCCCCAGCAGCAGGCGTAGAAGGATTGCCCATTGAAGACGACGACATGGGCCAGTCAACGAACCAAGACGACACCTCGGTTGTTGCCGCTGAAACAGTGGTGGATGGAGGACCGACGCGCGAACGCCGGCCGTCCATTCGACCCACGGCACTCCCGCCTCCGCTTGAAAAGACGACTGCCGACGCGGCCAACCCTCAGGCAAACTTGAAAGCGCGCATCATGCAAATCCAAACCAACAAGTCGCTGACACCCAAGGAAAAGGCCGACGGGATGCAAAAGGTCATGATGCAGCAGTGGACCGAAGCTCAAGAGCGGTTGACCCCGAAACAAGCCGAGTCCAAACCGGAAACCCCCGTCGCAGACTCGGATCGTACCGTCGTCACGTACCACAACGCGGACGCCGGCATCAAAGGATGCTCCCATTACCAGTACGTGGCATTCCATCTATTGATCATGGGCCAGCTAACCCTGTCCTCGTAGGCGAAAATGCAAATTGTTTGGCAAATGCTGCAACAAATTCTACACGTGCCGGTTTTGCCATGGTAAAAGCATAAAAATGAATCATTTATCTAATATGGACATAGATGAACAAGAAAAGCACGCGTTTGACCGGTACGCGACGGAAAAGATCAGCTGCATGGAGTGCCATACAATTCAACCCGTGGGTCCAAAGTGCATCAACGACGGCTGCGGCGTCGACTTTGCCCGGTACTATTGCAGCGAGTGCAAGTTTTACGACGACGACGAGACCAAGGACATTTACCATTGTGAGAAATGCCGCATCTGTCGCATTGGCAAGGTATAAATATGATTATTCATTTATTTGTCAGATTTCATTTATATTTCTTTTTTTAATTTCGTTCTTTTTTTTGTTTGCCAGGGTCTGGGCGTCGACTATTTTCATTGCGACAAGTGCAATGCGTGCATGAGCATCACCCTCAAGAAGCACAAGTGCGTGGAGCGATCCCTTGAATCTGACTGCCCCATCTGCCACGTGTACATGTTCACGTCCACGACCCCCGTGATGTTCCTTCCATGTGGGCACTGCATGCACGTTGCGTGCTACGAAGACTACACGCAGGTACTGTAGGATCGATGACTGATGGAAGTACTAATGAGATGGCATAGACCAACTACATATGCCCGCTATGTTCCAAGTCCCTGGGGGATATGAGAGCGTACTTTGCGAGGATCGATGACCTTCTCTCGCACGAGCAAATGCCGGCGGAATACCAGAATTACCGATCGCAGATCTATTGCAGTGACTGCGAACGCAAGTCCGAGACAAAGTTCCACTTCGTGTACCACAAGTGCCAGCATGACGAATGCAAGTCGTACAACACCAAAGTCGTCAAGCATTTCAAACAGGAAGGAGGGTCATTACATCCCCCGCCAGCTCCGGCAGGAGGTATCACCACCGCGGTGGCGGGACGAAGTGGAATCGGCCGGGTACAAGCACGTACGACGGACGCGCGTCGGAGCTCATCGTCGTCCATCAGCCGAAGAAGCTCCAATCCGTCTCGATCGGACCCAAGCAACCGCGGCACATAGGTCGTATGTAGACCGCCAGCCTTCCTCCATTCTTAACCCGCCACAACGAGTTGCTTTCATGTTCATGGCGTTGCGTGATTGACAGTGCAATGTGAAACTTGTCTGAAATAAGCTGACCAATGGAAGCATTTAACGCTTGGCCTTTCATATTTGTCGCCATTGGATTGGTCAATACAAGTTTCAGCGGATATAAAAACGCGTTTTTGTCGCCGGGAATCTTGATCGTCGTCGATGATTGGCTGCCTCGTTATATTGTTCCATTGCCAAAAGTCCGCTTCATGGTCGGCCGCGTGGTGGCGGTGCACCTGATGAAGATGTGGCACTCGTTCGTGAGCTACATGGCATCTCATTTCTACGCCCTGAAGATGCGTCCTGTGTCCGGCTTCGACCCGTCTGGTTTCATGTTCATGCTTGCGTTTGTGTGTCTGGTCGTGGGGTTGCTCCTCGCCGTGTTCGACAAGCGCAGCCAGCGGCGGCTGTCCACGTACCTCGACAACAAGAAGCTCACTCGACTGAGCACGGTGGGCAAGCTTGTCGCGTCTACCGCCATCGACCACTCGGCGCGACAGGGCTTCATCGCAGAGATGCTCAGCTTCAACTACCTGTCGCGGCTGTCGTTCTCAATCTTTGTGTTTGGGATCACGTCGTACTTGAACGCGTTGGCGGCTGTCGTGGCTGGGTACACATGGCCGACTTCCATCAACTCGGTTGACTGACATGTGCTGGTAGATGGCGCACTCCGAACGTGGTGATCCTCACCATGGCCAAGGACGACAGCGGTGAAAAGACGCTGCCAGACTTGGGCCACGACCTGTTCAAGGCTGTCATGACGCTGCTGTACGGGGACACGGACTACATCGACTGGTTCGACCTCCCCGACGAGTTCATCGCGTTCGTTGGGTCCATCATCGCCGTGCTCTTCCTCGTGCATCCCCGGGTAACAATCAACTTCCGTCCCTACTTCAACGCTACCTCATGTAGCGCCTGCTCATCCTGCGCCGGTTCACCATGATCTACGCATGGATCAACTTTCTCCGGGCGTTCTGCGTGGCCGTGACCTCCCTTCCAGATGCCAGTCCCATGTGCATCTCCCAGTTCGACTCTCGCAAAGGCGCGTACAAATCGCTGCCCATCTTCCCCAAGGCCTTCCACCGGGCGTTCAAGGTGCTCATTCGACCGTCCCACCACATCACATGCGGAGACATGATCTTCAGCGGTCACACTGTGTTTCTCGTCCTCTGTGCGCTCACAGTCACCACGGTACTACGAGGACTAGTACGAGTAGTAGTACTAGTCTTTATAATCATCGATAGTACTGCGCCAAGGCCGAGCTCAACACGCCTTTCACGCGAGCGCATCCGTGGGTGCTGACGCTGGTCAAGACGGCAACCGTGATCGGCTCGACGCTGGGGGCATTTGCGATCGTCGGTACCCGCCTGCACTATACCCTGGACGTGCTCATTGCGATCTACGTGACGATCCAGACATGGTACACTTACCACTGGCTGTCCGAGGACAACAGGTGGGGCATCCGCATCATCTCGTGGCTCGAGCACGACCGACGGGTTGTCTCGATCGACCACAACGCGTACCGCATGGCCAGACGAAGCGGCAGCTTCAACTCACTCAACAAACAGGAATAATAAACTAGTATGTACTACCAGAATGTGTTCAGTGTACGGTACAGTACGGGACTTGCCATAGTAGTACAGTGTATGTATTGTTTGCGCTAGCGTACTCCAATACTATGTGTACTTGGAAGTATTAATTATTAGTAGTAGATGTTCAAAGTCTTGCTTTTTTTAATAAGAGCCCGTCTGGCAACCAGAAATATTACAATAGTTATTCTGGCCCAAAATACTATTTCAAGAAATCTCTGAAGTGTTTTAACCCAATATGACATTTTTGGTTTATCCCATTTTACAACCAGAGGACATATTATTTTTGAAATGTTACCAGATGCACCCTAATTCAACCAATTTATACAATAAAATACGGTACCGGTTTACGGCAAAGAACGATGTATATATATATATATATATATACAGGGCATTTTACTGACAAACTGTGGTCGCAACATATCAGAGCTAGTCAATCACAAGTGGTTCGTATTTCGTTGAATTTTATCCAATCACGGGGGGTACTCTAGTCGTCCTTGGGCTTGTGGGGGCGCTTGGCCAGCATGGCGTTGAGTTTGGCCTGGAGCATCTCTTGAATGGCGGGCCATTCTCCATTAAGCGCGGCAAACACGACCGTGTCCCGGTTCGCCCCCTTGGCGATCATGTGCTTTCTCAGCACTCCTTCCATCGTAAACCCCAAGCTGTGCGCCGCCTTGCGGGACCGGACGTTGAATCCGTCGCATCTCCACTCCACCCGCCGGTACCCGCCTTCGCGGAACAGCGCGTCCAGGAGCAGGTACACCACTTCCCGATGGACTCCGGTGCCCTGGAAGGCTGGCACGAGCCAGATGGCTCCGATCTCCACGCGCAAATCCGTTGGAGAGTGATTCAGGAGCCCCACCATCCCAATGGGTTTGGACGTAGATGCGTCCAGCTGTTCAACAGCGTGAGGGAAGAAACCAGCATGGAGAAGGTACAACATACCAACACGAATAGCCGCTGGTTGTCGGCCTCGATGCAACAACCTCGTTCAAAGTCATCCACGGTCTCATACGGTCCAGACAGCATGTAGCGCCACAACGCCGCGTCGGCGTCGAACGCCTTGCCGCCGTAAATGCCGCTGATGGCCTTTCCGGACGAAATCTCATATAGCGTGGACACGATGGCTTTTCGATCGGAGAACGACTCTAACGGACGAATGTGGACGAATTGGCCTTCCAGCGAGTACGCGGCAGGTTTGAGCGGAAGGGAAGCCGCTTTTTGCAGCAAGTCGTCGTATAGAAGGGGTTTGACTTGATCCGCCGAGGTTGGCATGCCCGATGCTTCGTGCTTCATGCGGTCAAAGGACCCACCAAAGTAGAGAAGCATGAAGACCGCTCCCAGCGTCGCTGCGAAGACAACGAAGCCCACCGCAATGCCAATGTACGCGTACGCCGTCGTGGACGGGTCGCTTCCGATCGTCGCCATGATCACCGAGAAAAGTTATCCGGACAGATACAATTGTGTCGGATATTTGGTCATCCGGAAAACAGAAGGTTATGCGGATGAAACGTTCGCATCGCGGTTGTGCACAACCAAGCGGCATGACGACAACAGAGGATCTGTGGCAGAAGAAGAAACGTGTGTATGCTCAGCAGCTGACAGACCGACTCAAGGACGACGAAGCCTTCAAGCGCTCCTTCGTGCAGACGGCAGAGCATGTCCGCGCCATCCACAAGCTCAACCTTGACTACAACAACCGCCGCACCGTCGAACAATCCATGTGTGCCATCTCGGCCGCAAGTGTGCTTCTCGTGTTCGTCGACTGCGCCGTGGACACCCCTTGGATCCGCGTGATCAACACTGCGTTGACTGTCGCCTTGCTCTGCCTCCTCATCCGGCGTTACACCATCGAAGTGCACATCGCGATAGGCAAAGGCACGCTTCCGTCCGACGTCCGCCTGCACGAACTACCGTCGTCCGTCATCCTCGGGTTCCTTGTGGAGTTTCTCATCTGCAGCCTCACCGTGCCCCCCTTCATCACGAACGGGTCCTTCTCCGTGCAGCAATGGATCACCCGCGCACAGGTTGATCCCATCACCCACGCGTACTTCTGCAAGTTCGACGGCGTCCTGCTCGGCCGCGACTGCTACTTGCTCTACTCTTACCCGTACGTGCATCCGTCCATCGGCATCGCACTCACAGAACCTGCTTAGGTACCAGGTCGTCGGGCTTGTCCAGCTCGTTCGTGTGTATATGGTCCCGCGCTTTGTGCGCAATATGTCGGACTTTTACAGGTATAAATTTAAGGAGTTTTCGACTTTCTATGAATATCCACAGGTATTTCTTAGAGTCCCAAATTTTCGAAATATCGTATATATTGTGCTTTCGAGTGAAATTTCGTGTTGTGGTGTGGTTTCTCATTGGAATTTAAATCGATTTGATTGGCTACCTCAGATGAACTCAAAATTATTAGCCAATCAAAACCTTCTCAATGAAATTCAACCAATCAGATCGATTGTGGATCGGTTTGGTCGGCGCGATTCGATTGCACCCCCTCCCCAAATTTGTATCAAATCGACAATATATATATATATATATATATTAGCTGTCCACGTTTCTCTGCTTCACTAAGATAAATATACTATAAGATCAAAAATAAATAAAATTTATATCTTCAGAAAGCAAAATCCAATTTACAATTAATCAAACATTTATATCTTACGCAAGCAAAAAAATCAAACGTTCAATTCCCTGTAAACTTGTGTTGTGTGCGTACATTGTTTCTCGTTGTGGACAGCGAATATATATATATATATATTTGTAGCTACCGCATTGCGTTTATCGGGAGTCTCAACAACGTGGATGCGTTGGGCACGCTCTTCGCCATCAAGTACCTCTTGCGCACCAACCCATTTACCTTGCTCAGCCTCGGCTTCCTCTCATCTCTCTTGACCACTGCGTGCGCAGTATGGATCGTGGAAGCCCCCGTCAACCCCCTCGTGTCAACCTACGGCAACGCCGTGTGGCTCACCGTCGTGACCATGGCCACCGTCGGGTACGGGGACAAAGTGCCCGTGACAGTCGCCGGCCAAGTCGTGATGATTGTGTTTGCCATGGTCAGCGGCATCCTCCTCACGGGAATGCTCAGCGCATCCTTCTTCGCCATGCTCGAGCTCACGGCCGCCGACGTGACTGTGTTTGGCTTGCTGGACAAGGAAAAACAGGCCAAGCAGACGGCCAATGCATCCGCCACACTCATCCAGGCCGCGTGGAACTTGCACTCGTGTGGCCGCCATCATCCTCCTCCTCTCGACCATGCCAACGCGTACCAAGCAGGTACGAACTAGTACTACTAGTACTAGTATTACTAGTGTGAACAATCATAATCGGGCTGGTTGGGTTGGTAGCGTCTGTGTTGCTGTACGCCACGGCCCAAGTGTGCCGCAAACTGCGCAAGTCGCGACCGCTGCACGTACCGTCCACGACCGAACAACTCGATGGACATTTCGGAACTGTGAGAAAAAATATGCACGCGGACTTTGCCAGTCGGAAGGCGCGGCTCCTGGCGCTTGAAGCCGAGTTGGACGCGGTCCAGCTGTAGAAACCCATGACGAATCAAAACTACTCGAAAAATCAATGATTATTCGAATTAAATAGGACTAAAACAGACTGGTTGGGACCAATATTCGTCTTTTTATTGTATATTAGCATCAGTCGTACTTAGTATTTAAAGGTACGATAGAGCGAATCCTATTTGTATTCCTTGGAAGTACAAGCTGTATGGTGACTTTTTATGATACTACGACGACTAATATTTAAAAACAAAAATTTGGTCGATCGTGATTGGATGGTTTATATCCATCCATCCAATGAGCGATAAAAATATTTTTAAACCATTTTTCGATTTGCGCAATTAATATTTCGAAAATATGGTTCAGAGAATTCAAAGAAAATAACCTCTTTTCTATTTTTTGGCGAAAAACTCGAAATTTGGCAAAATATTGCATTCTCCAAATTTCTGATCCAGACAGAATTTTCCATTTTTTGCGGATTTCTTAGAAATTGCCAAAATATCGAAGATTTTGGCCTTTTTTTGACATCCAGCCAGACTCATCTAAGTTCAGGTTATTTTGCGGTATATTTAGTCCGACGCAAACCCAGAAACCATTTATTGCTATATAAAACCCTGCCATCGTAACTTGGCCCTATGTTGCTTCGAGGAGGGGCTACTATTATTATTATTATTATTTACTAACGGTGGGGAAGTTAATCCGACGACGCACGGACGACGCAGCTCCGACCCCGTCTTCTGCATCTCGAAAACTAGGCAAATACAAGCAAATTTATACAATCTATAACATATATATATATATATATATATATATAAACACTCAAAGCAACGTACTTTGGAGGCGTGAAGACGGTGAGCCGACGAAAGCTCGGGCTTTTGAACCGACTGGTAACGGTGGGGGCGTGGTGGTGTTGGTCGTTATTTTCCCTATATCCACGAACAATATATTATTTCATCTAAAAAATATTATGTTGAAATAATATTCCTACGATGGGGTAGGATGATGCTTGAGTCGTGTGTCTTGGATTTTGGGGCTAGGCAGACTCAGCGCCTTCTTGAGCGCCAGGGGCGGCGGCGTGCCGGACGATTTACTCCCCAAGCAATTAGACGACACCTTTTTGCTTGATAATTTGGCTGAGGGTTTCTTGGCCAATGCGACGGATGGCGACGGCAGTTGCTTAGCCACGACCACAGCAACCGACGGGAGGGGGGATGGCGGCGGCGGTAGCACCTTTTTCTTCTTCTTAGCTTTGGCCGCCTTTCTCGGCAACCGGCCAAACGATCCTTTGCGCTCTAACAACACCAGCGTCGTCATATGCAATGGCATGATAGCCCCGAGTTGGTCGTCTGCAAGTTGCTGGTTGTACGTGGATTCAATGTACTCGTGCAGGTCGTGGCAGTCGTCGGTTTGCAGCCACTCGTATATCGTCCGCCGGTTCATTCCATCTGGCACAGCGTACTCGGCCAACGTCTGGCCCAGAGCTAGCCCAATGTCCTCGAAATGGCCCAAGTTAAAGTGCCTAGCAGCCAGCACCCCAAAGTCCGCGCCACAGAACGACGCTTCTAACGTAAAGCTGTTGGCGATGCCCATATCTTTGCCCACAACCACCCGCGCCGTGGATTCTCGATGCACTTGAAAGTTGCACGCGTCTAAGCTTACAAACTGGCGGCCAATCCAGTGGTTGCTTAGCAACGTGGGAAACATCCTCGCGATCGGGTTGACATGTTTGCGTGAGTCACATCCGTACATAAACACATTCTTCTTGCGGCTGTGGCCGTGAATATCGCAGTAAAATACCACCGGAAGGGTCTGCATGACGCTCTTGGCCGCGGCGATCGTCGGGTGGACCGCGCCCCTCGGTGCCTTCCACTGCCGGTTCAGATCGCATCCGGCGAGGCCGCACCGGTTGTTTCCGTACATGACGCCATCCGGATTGAGCATCGGCACGACTTTGAACACGAACAGCCGCCGGAGGAGCTTGGCGTCGGGGGCGTCCGACACGAGGAAGTCCAACACCCCCCGCATGATCCAGCTAGCTTGGGGTTCGCCGGGGTGCACTCTAGCGGTGAGCACGACCACCGGCCGGCGGCCGTCGACGTGCCCGTGCCCGAAATCGGTGATCGTGAGCAGATCACACGCTTGCTGGCCTAATGTTGTGCACAGAACCGACTGGCGGACGACGTCGGGGCACCGAAGCGCGGGTCGGGCGAGGTGCCACCTGTGGTCGTGCATCGTGTACGGATAGCTGTGCGCCACGAGAGTAGTGTCGTGGGCATGGGAGAATGTGAGCGTGAAGGATAGGGTGAAAAATGTGAGCTGGTCGGTGGACGGACGGGGGACCGGCGACGGCTGCTTGTACGGATTGGCAAAATAGCACACGTTGGACCCAGCATGCGTCCAGCCGACGGCTCGGCAGGTGGCGTCCTGTACAGAGTACACCACCGGCTGCAGCCCCGTGCGGAAGAGGCTGTCGGGCTTGTGCAGGTTCACAATGTGAAACGTATAGGGTACATCTGGTTCGGTGTTGGCCACTGCAAAGTAGAACCACTGGGTGTACCCTTGGGTATGCAGATCCGGACGAAGGATGAGGTCGTACTCTGTGTCGGCGATCTGCACGGCACGCAGGAGATTACCCGAGTCGAACTCCGAGTCAAACGTGAGGGGGGGGGTGGCGTGGCGACTGGGGTCGGGGAAGCCCACGGCGTACGGGTACGCGTCCGGCACGGCGGAAGCAACGGCGGCATCCCCCCCCGGTCGCGTGCTCTGGTACACAAGCTGTGCGTCCGCATGGTCGGATTGAACGAGCGCGGCGCGCATGCTGGTGCGGACGTCAACGTACTTTTGCATGTCACTGGGACTGGCAAATGTCGACGTAGCTGGTTCGTTGTGCATGGGGCAGGTTGTGAGGAGAGTAGTCGTTGCGGATGAAGTGGCCGAGCAACTCGGAACGGATCCAAGCGGGTGTTTTGGCAAGTGATATCCACTTGAGTCACTCGTATATGTGAAGCGGTGCTCGTGGACGGTACTTCCACATATACGCGCAGACGGCACCACATCTTGGGGATGTGCGAACGACTGCAACACGAACGCCACCAGTGCCTCGGGGGTGACCACTGTTGGGACGCTAGTAGTACTAGGAGGAGGAGTACGACCTGGCGTACTAGCGGGGGGAGTAGTAGTAGTAGTACTACTACTACTACTAGTAAGAGGAGGAACCACCGAGTCGTCGTCCACTTGGGGGTGGTTGTTGTTGGGGGGGGGAGGAGAGGGGGAGGGGTTGGAGGGGGAGGTGTTAGTCACTATTGCAGACATGTCAATGTCACTATTCTCTTCGTCGTCGTCGTCATCCATGACATCCTCTTCATCTTCTTCGTCGATTTCGTTTTCGTCCGGCGGTTGCTGCTGTTCCGGCGGTTGGTTTCCTTCCCCCTCGTTGGCTTCTGACCCTCCAAGGGGCGTATGTAGGCGTAAGCTCATTGCATGAAGCAGTTTCTCGAGCTCGGGGGGCGGCATCGCATCGTTGGCCATCACGTCGCGATTGAACTGGCTGAGGATGCTGACGCCGCCGCAGCTCACGACGCTGTCCAAGCCATCCTTAGAGCCCATGAGGTGCAGCAGGAATCGGCATGCTTCGACCATGCATTGCGGCGTCCAACCTGCCGCCGACGAGAAACGACTGAGGAAGCGCATGGCGGCGCCGAGAAAGCCAAACACGGTGCGGGGGTGGGTGGTAATGGTATTGGACAAGCAGTACGAAGTGACGACGCAGAACACCTGGTCTAGGAGGTGAACGTCGTCCGGAAATGTCCGGATGGCCAGCAAGAGCGCTGCCAGCGATTTCTCTGGGGACCGAAGCGGCTGCGCGGCGATCATGGATCGTCGTAAGTTGACGAGAACTTGAAGCCCCAACTGAAGCATCTCTTGGGGATTCGAGTGGAAGGGTGCTAACGCCAGCATGCTTTCCATCGTGGAAACATTCACGAGCGCGGGTAGGGGCACGGGGTTGCGGGAGAGATGGGCCTGAGACCAACACACAAACAAAACGGAGCTTAACGACATGTACATATGTACATATCAGTACATACCAGTACACGAAAGATGGAGAGGGCGAGGGGGGGTGATGCGTTCTCGGTGGCGAGGCGGAGAAGGAGGTCGCCGTGGCAAACCGACGGCGGCAGGTGCGGAGTCAAATCCACAGCGTGGGAGCTGGCAAACTGGGTCAGGAGGCATAAGATGTGACAGGTTGCTAGCAAGGTTTCAGAGCATTTCGAGTTGGCGCGCTGGTTGGCCAGTACGCGGAAAAGTACGACGACGACGCCATCGTGGATCATCTGTGGCATCACGACCGGGTCCTTGGAGATGCGAAAGAGCAGCACGGTCACGATGCGCTCGACGTCTGTGGGAAGGGGCGCCGCGGACATGGCTGCGATGATGGCAGCAATTCCGTGGGCATCCGCGATGCCCTTGCCAACCCCGGGCAGTTCGCAGAGGATGGCAAGGGTGTGGCAGGTGGACTTGACTACGGCAGGACGTGCGTGTTGGTTGCGGTCTTTCAAGACATCGAGTAGAAAGTCGACGAGTCCGAGCTCGTACACCACGCGGCAATTGCGCTCGTGGCCGATGATGATGCTGGTCAGCGTGTCCAACGCGAACGCGAGCAAGTCAACGTTGCGGACGTGAAGCTGCATGGCGGCCACGACGACAGGAAGACCTGCGCCGATGTGCTGCTGATTGTCGACGAGCTGGCTGAGGTTGCTCAGCGTCCCGAGCGCGGAGCGGAGCAGCGCCGGGTTCAACCGGTGGACGTCCACGCAGCGGAGAAGCGTGGCAATACCCCCGTGTGTGCTGATGCTGGCTTTGACCGGCTTGTTGTTGAAAGCCAGCGTCCAGAGAAGGTCGCACGCCGCCTCCAGCAAGTCTTCGTTTGCCATGTGGGTGTTCATCGCGTGCAGGATCACCGCGAGCCCTGCGTTTGCGATCTCTGTCTTCTTGTCCTCGCTCCGCGACAAGATTGAGAGCACCCCGCAGCATGTTTTGATCGTGTTTGGGTCATCTGCGTACTCGACAATGCGGTTTAGCAGCGCTTGAACTCGAGACATCCGTAGCTCAGCCGCCGCGGCATGTACGTAAACCTCTGAAACTCGATGTGACGCCTCGCAAGAAACGGTTACACAACGGAATTAGATATCAAAGTGGTTTCAATTAGATGGCGATGCTTGCATTTTGCGGCAGTATTTCCACTTGAGAAAAAATTGGTGCTGGTTGAAGTAATCCGGTAAAATAATAACTGGTCAGTGTAAATTGTGCCCGGATAGTAGTGGTGTTTCATGACCAATCACTCATAATGACGGAGCTTGGGCAACTAGAAGTGGCTGCCAAAGACAGCCCGACAGCGAAGAAGCCAAGGGCATCCAAAACGAATTTGGTCAAATGTGCACCTGCTGACGCGCAAGTTGCGCTTGTACCACCCATCTCCAGGGCAGGCTTCGACTCATGTGACGTAGAACAGTTTTAGTTGTGAAATGATGTTGGCATAGTACTGTAGGGCAGAAATACCTTGCCAGTCGTTGTTTCGAATGGATAAAACCTTCATCGGTGACTCCTTGTTTGATCTACCATCGTGTCCGACAACGGCAACCACACAACCTACTGCTGCAAATATAGTTGCGATCGCTACGATATCCCCGGCCTCCATTGTGCTTCGGCGGAACGCTGGTTCGGGGATACTGACAATCAAGTTGCTATCCGGTATCCATAATATTGGCCAACTTTCACCTCATTATTAATAACTTGTTGATAATTTATACCCACTCAAATTCAAGTCAAACCACCCACTTTTTCAAAAAGTTGGTATTTCATAAACTTTTTATATAAGTGATTGCCCACATAGTTAACGAGGAAAAGTGAGTGCTGAAAAAGTGGGTGATTCTTTACTTCAACCAGACCCTTAGTGTATACTGGTAGTCGATTTGATACTCGAAAAGCACAATACTACAGTAGTAGGTGTGCCTGAAACTCTTGAGTCTCAGGCAACAACTGTATCATGGGGGTATTATACTTCAACTTGACATGTGAATGTGAACTTGTATTCAATTTAAGAGGTCACGACGACACTACACGCTACATCTACAGTAAGATCCCTCCTTTGGTTGCGTTATTATTGTTGGTGCAATCGACGTTCTTGCGATGAAATATCAAAAAGTAAGCTGTCAATGGAGGATTACAGACAGTAGCAACGCTATTAACGTTAGTTCTTACGCGACACAAGCCAAACTTGACACATGAATTTTCATTTACGATGGCACAAGTCACTACACGGTACGTACACGGATTGGCATCCTGTTTAGCCTCCAAACCCTTCCTGGTTGTACTGCTGCTGGAGCTGCGCCTCTTGCCACTGGAGGAATTGTCCGTTGGGGTCGTAGCCACTGGGAGGGGCATCTTGGAGCGGCTGCGTGTCTTGGGCGTAATAGTCGCCTTCGCTCGCATCGTCGTACCACGTATTGAGTCTCAGTTCCCGGCGTAGGTTGGGCGTCTCGGCAGCCGTCCCCAACGCCACACAAACAGCCACGACAAGCCACTTCATTTTCAGCAATGAGCGTATTTGCAAGCGACGGATTCCAACAGGCGCGACCTTTCAAGTGAAAGGTCGAACAGCATCTTATTGTTCCGTGGTCAACCAGGGTCCAGCACTGCAATACAAGGACTCTATGTCTTGTGTGGTAAATATGTTATAATATGAGAGCGTCTTAGCTGACGACTTGATCGAAAACAGGTCAGAGTCTCTTGACTGTTAGCTGCTTTGATCTCAATCGGCGGGCATTCCAATGAATTAAACTACTAAGTACCAGTGAAAGAGTGTACATATAGTTGCTGTTTGGGAAATCAAGCTAACGTTAGTGTGGACACATAACTGTACAACCAAGCTTTATGAACTAACGTTAACAAGCAATTCAACTTATGCGGCGCTCTTTGGCTATGGAGGGCAGAACAGAGTTGTTGCGACTGTTACCCGGTTCAAAATTCGTGGTTAGGAGTGCATAGCACGAATCTCCATCGACACAAGGCGTATATACATTGACAGTTGAATGCTGCTAACGTTAATGGGAATGCTTCATGGCCATCGCGTCGTTTTCGGCTTTCTCATCTTCGGCTGCCTTTTCGTCCGGTGTGATCTGGTTCGGGTCGGCGTCGTCGTTGTCTTGGTCAGGAGGAAGGACGTCATGGGAAGGGATGGCTGCTAAAGTCGCCACCAACGCCGCAAGAGCCCACAGCAGTAGCCGCATGATGCTGCACTTTATACTTCGGTGGAGATGCCAAAAGTGTAACCGCCGACCCTGCAATAACTTGTTTTTAATTAAATTTGACAGTTTGGTCACTAATCTTGGTACGAAGCTCAGGCAAGCAAATTATCCGGAACCATTAATCAATTCCAATGAATCCGCTCCTATTCCTCTACCTCAACCTGGTCCGTGCACCCCAGCTCAATGCGAAGCGTCTGAAGAAGGAGGAGGACGAACGCTTGGCACGTGAAGCGGCTGACCCGACGCTGGCCGCAGCAGAAAGCAAAGCGACGAAGACGAAGTCGGCGGACGGCGAGAAACCGCAACTCACGTCGTGCAAGAAGTGCGAAGTCCAAGTGCTAGACGCCGAAGTCAGCGCGAATTTCGGCCTGTGCGACAAGTGCGCATCCAACCCATGGGCCCTCGTCACGCCCGTTGTGGTGTTCCAACTCGTTGGGATCGTTGTGGCGCTGGCAGTGTTCATCTACCGATTCCTCAACGGACTGCCGCTGGTGTAGGATGTCAGTTGGGATAACGCTAGTACATAAGAAGAAGATCAGTGTTTGAAGGTCATGTCTTCAAGGTGGTCGGTCAGCGAGCGCCTTGTGCGACCGTTCGTGTCAAGTCGCTTTGCCCAGCAAACCTCAAGTGTGACTTCAGATTACAATTTTCCTTGCAATCACCAAAACTACCGTAGGTTGTTGGAGATAAATATCCGGTATATACGTCCCTTATACCCTAATATTCCTTAAACACCGGGTGTTTAAGAAATCTGGGCGGAATAAACCGTCGAGTGTCTACGGTAGCACAAGGAGTTGAACTCGTCGGGAAATGTGCCCTTGTTGTTACCTTCACAGGCATCTTTAGCATAACAGAAGCCTACGTTGCCGTCAAATCCCCTGGATCTGTGCATGATGAAGTGACGTGGAGCCAGCAGCTGCTTCCCATGTACGTGACCATCTCGTGGATGCCGAGCAGATCCCGCACCATGTGAAACCACCGAGCGGCGAATGCTGTATGCAAGTGGAAGAGCATGTGGTTGTCCACAGCTTGGTGCTGTTTCTGTGGAAATACTTCAGATATGGCAAAGGCGTGGACGGTGCTCCGGCTCTGGTAGGTTTCCCCAACAAGAGCTTTGAGCGGCGACCGAGTCACGCCGTCCATTCGGTAGAGTTCGTTGGTGGTGGCGTTATAGCTTCGCTTAGCCTGCTAGAACTGCACTCCAACGGGGATATAGATAGAAGGTGACGACCTACGGCGCACACGAATAGCACTGCGAACAAGGCAAAGTGAAACTCGACCAAGTACAAGATGTAATGCAGCAAAGTCGAGTCGATTTTTCGTCCAAGCCGGACGAGAAGCATGCGATCCACAGACGTGACGTCAAAGAAGGTGGGCACCGGTGCTTTTAACACAGAGGTAAATATCTCGAAGGTGGACCGATAAGGCGGCACCAGCAGCAGCGCAAACGTTGATCTATCCATAGAGGACGGAGGTCGGAGCTTCACTGGCCCACACACCCTCATGAACCACTCCGTCATAGTTAACGCCACTTGCGACAGCACACACAGCAACGTGATGCACCCCCACCCCACCATGTTTAGTGTTGTACTTGGAAGTATAATGTTTTCGTGCCAACTTACTAGTTCCAATATGACGAACCAACCACATGGCTGGCTACCTTGAGATAGCTACAATATTCAAAGTCATACTTCTAATATCGGCTTTTTTAGCTGACTCGACGAAGGACGGACAGCGTAGTCTTCCTAGATACAATGGCTTCAACTGAACTCTTTCGTGGTGAATTCAGGATAACGCTACAGTGAAACTCCTCGGCTAACAGGTTGCACCTACAGCTAAAACATTGCACATTACACATATAGCCTCGTCGTTCCATAGCTGGGTGGCATACTAATGTAGCCATAGCCAAAATGCTTGAATTGCTCTTACAACGAGGCTAACTTTGCTAAAGTACTTGTGCACTATATGTATACGAATTCGATGAGTCAACCGGCGGATGATGAGCTGCAAACTCCAACCTCAAGTCAAACACTTGTTACTGCAATTAACTGCAATATATTCAAAAACAACACTAAAATGAATGTGAATAAAGGGGCCGTTAATTGAACGACGAAATGGTCTGGAACAGGTCAAATTTTTGGAGCGAGTAAAAGTTGTGGGTCGGGGGGTGGCACTGCCAGAGGTGGGGCCGCGCGCCGGTCTCGTCGTTGATGTCGAGGCAATATCCCTTGTGCGTCAAGTGGCGCAGCTGGTTGGTGTACACATCGTATTGCCACTTTTGATTCTTGTTGGTGTCGCCACACTTCCACGTATGCACGCGACCACCGTTCCACGGCTCGTACGCGTCGAGGCAGTTGTAGTCAATGACCGACCGCACCTGGTGGAAGTCGCGGTTGTAGTCCCACTCCTGGCGCCACGCGGCCGGCAGCGGCGCGTTCGGGTCGGACGGATTCTCGGCCGGGTCTTTCGGCAACAGCGCCGCAAACGAAATGTCCCCCGCCGTGTCGTTGCGCTCCGTCTTGGTCGTGGTCAGGAGCAGGTCCTTGCGCTGCAAATGACCGATCTCCTGGACCACGGACCAGTACTGGTTCTTGTTGACGTCGTGGGAATGGCACTCCCACACTTGGGCCTGGCGCTGGGGGGCCGTGGGGTCGGCATCCAGACACACGTTCGGGTGCGTGGCGTGCTGGATGCGGTGATTGGCCATGTCCACGTACCACCGCTGGTTGGGGTTAGCGCCGTCGCACGCCCACGTGTGGACCCAGTACTTGCCGTCCTTGGGGTACGCGTCGAGGCACTCGCGCTGGTTGCTGTTGCTGCGGAGCTGCTGGGTGTCCTTGTTGAATAGCCACCACTCGTTCATGTTGTCCTTCTTGGCGTCGGCAAACAGGTTCGAGTACCATTCCGAGAGCGGGTAGTCTTGTGCAGAGTAGAAGCGCCACGCGACTTCGTTGGCGCTGGCGGGCGCGGCCGAGGCGGCCAACGACAGCGCGGCAGCAATGCAAGCAATCGACTTCATGATCGATGGATGGTAAATGGGAAAGTGAGGTTGGGATCCCAAGTGATCATAAATTTGGAGTCCTCTTTGCTTTGCATCGTCCATCTTGTTCTTCCAGTTTCGTCGTCCGTGGGAAAGTTGAATGGAACTAACTGGGCACATTGCACTTTGGTGGAATATGTAGCCATCAAGGTTGAATATTTCACCCGAATGCGGACTATTCAAAGTAACATTTCACGTTTACTAATACAGTTCGAAGTATCGGTAGTATATTGGTTGCATGTACTT